TAGTAGTAGTAGTAGTAGTAGTAGTAGTAGTAGTAGTAGTAGTAGTAGTAGTAGTAGTAGTAGTAGTAGTAGTCATCGTCGTTGCCTTCTGCCATTTCCTACTGTGTTTTCCAGTCGCGTTGGTTTTTACATGTTTTTATTACTCATCTAGCACCTTTGCTTGTAAGCTGCCATGTTCGCTTTGCAAAACTTTTAGCGTGTTGGGCTATCCGGTCCTACTTAGTTTTAAACCAGTCTTGTTTCGGATTATCACAATTAGAAGATACTCAACCATAGTTAAATTCCCTTCTTTCTTGGGAAACTTGGGAGCGGACAGTGGGACATGTCCGGGAAACCCATGCAGTTGCAGTAAAAAAAGAAAACAACAACATGTGCGTTTTGAGGAACAATTAAAGTTGGACCGCTTGTTACCCAAACAATCCATGGGACGGTGTGTGTATAAAAAACCTTGGGATGGTTGATTCTTCAGTCCCCAGTCCGATGTTTTGGGTTAAAAAATCGATCCAGATGACTCCATTCCGTCGAACGCTTCGCTTCCTTTCTCCCCAGGTAAACCGGTGGTGTTCCTCTTCCAGGCATGGACGACGGCCATCCCATCGGTGCCGTTCGGTGTTCGGCGAATTCATTCAAATGCTGGTGAAGATCACCATTGGTTCCTATCGTCCTATAGATTGGTTTCTCTTCCAAAGAACACGGCAGTTTCAAGCAATTCGCAGCTGATTTTTTTACCTGTCAGAAGTCCTCCTTGGATCAGGAATCTTGGAGGGTCCAGGTGACCAGTAATCACGCTTACCAGGTGTCGTTATGCGATTCAATTTGAAAAGGTCACCATCGTTTTACCATTTTTCACCTGCCATGAGGCAATTTGACGTGAACATGTCAGGCCGTGTCAAACACACATAGATGGCCTTGTACCATCGGTTGGTTGATTAATGGAAGGGAGACCCCCAAGTGAACAACCCATAGGTACATAGTACCAACTCGACCCCTCTAAGTCTACTATTTCCAGAAGGACATCACCGGTGTCATGTATGGCAGTTGAAGTCGTTTGTGGCCGTTGAGTTGCGCTCAAGGGAGCCGCAAGTGGACTGAAGACATTCGCAAAGCCACATAGACCTTACAAGACCATCCACGGATACCTTCGCCGGAATTGGACAGTAAGCCGTTTGCAGCTAGATGTCTGAAAACACAAAAACAACAAAATATGTCTTCAACGCGATCCATTTGTTTGGTGTAGCTTCAGACTTTAGACAACTATATGAGGTGCAGCACCCCTTCATATCAACAAACCTACAGAGCAGTCCAGAAGGAAGAAGGAGAACCGGCAATCCGCAACACGAACCGCAACGAGCCTCACACCAGCTCAACCCCAAATCCTTTTTGTTGAGGTATATATGTATCTCCTCCGAAAGAGGCAACCCTCTGAAAAGGTGTTATATAGTTCACACTACTGTACTTGGTGATTGATACCCCCTCAAGAGCGCGACGATTTGCTCAAGAACGGACGATTTGCTCCACGATGGGCTCCAAAGTCTCATGCTTGGAGCCGTCCGCGCCGTCCCTCAACGCAAGTGGAGGGCCGACGGTGTCGAGGTGTCGAGGTGCCCATGGGGGGGTTGGAGCGAGACGGCATGCGGGGTCCCGGGCTTGATTGGAGCTAGGAAAAGCAACCCACAGATGTGGAGCTTCATGCAGTAGGAGGCTCAGGCTATAACCTATATAGCCATCCTTTAGCCACTTTAGCCTTGGTTCTGGTTAAATTGAAGGTTTTTGGGTGCCTGGTCTCTGAGTGAATGATTCAATGCCCGCATTCCACTGACTTTTTGGATGTGTCACACATCTTTTTGTTGACCAAGGCAAACCGCCACTAGCTTCGGATATACCTCAAAGCTGGGTTGGTGGTTTTGAAAGATGTTTTCAACCTTGACTTGGGATGATTGAACCATCTTGAACCCACAGGTCCTCAGATTGTTTTCCGAGTTGAGACCATCTAACCAGATAGGCGTTGTCTTCTTCAGACAGGACAGATGTCCGCTTCGTGTACGTTTCGGTGGACCGGGACCGTGTGACGTTGACTTCGTTCCTGGACGGGAAGAGCGAAGCACTTGAAGCCGAGAACCCATGCAGTTGAAGCCGAGGTTCTCGGTTCTTGTTCCGTAGCATGGTGGGGTGGTTTCCACCACAGAGGTCCGGGAAGAACGATGGATCGTGTTCTTCCTGTTGAGGAAGAACGGACACTGATAGGGATCGCCAGATCGTCATACTGTCGAGTGATATCACATGGAATCGTGTTGGACTCTTCCGTATACGCTATTTGACTCGATGACTGCAACATTTTGCCTGTTGGATTGAATGTGTCTCATGCCAAGGAATGGTGGCATTCCGGAGGCTGCTGAAGGCATCTCCAGCTCGTGCCGTGGTGCAGATTGATGCCGCGGGGGTAGGGCACCAAAATGTTGCTTGTCCCAGGTCTCCATATTGTTTTATATTGTCTACAATTTGGTTGACTCATCTATGGTGTTTTCAAACATTGGTGTTACATGGTGTTACCATGCGTTACCCCTGATTTTCTTTCACCTATGATCACACTATGTTGATGTCCAAGGGGTAACCTTTAGGCCCACAAACTGTGCAACGTTGCCCTGCCGTGATATTAATGAATAGGCGCCGGCGCAGGACATGCACAAACTTGCTTTGCCAAGACCCATACAAAAGGGAAAACACCGTGCCACTGAGCCGCAAAGAAAAGGAGAACAGCTTGTTCAGACTCGAAGTATTGTTCACCTACTACTAAGCTTGAAATCTCTACTAAGAGAACGGGTCTTAGGTAAAAACAATTCGTTCGTTTGGTTGTGTCATCTTGGTGACGCTATTGCACTCTCATTAGGTGACTTGAGGCCTGAGGCAAGGGAAGTACCGGGGGCCTGTGCCGAGGGCAACCCACCTTCTGCACCCCAAGAGACTGATAGTGCAACATCCATGGCCCCCCTGTGCAACATCCATGGCCCCCCCCAAAAAAAATCAAAAAAATGGACGACCTGGAAGTGCTTCACTCAGCGTTTATCCTGCCACTTCTCCAAATGCAACCAGTGAGATCTCACCACCTACCACCTGAGGTCGCAGAACTGCCACCATCATCATCGTTTTCCAAGACTTGGCTCTCAGGCAGACGCGTGACACGCATTTGTCGCTGGGTCGGAAGTATATGGACCTTTGCCAAACATGACCCTGATTGATTGGCCGGGTCAAGGTCTGAGTGGGGTATATGTTTGATCAAGGATCAATTTTTTGACGTGCATATATTGTGTCAACCTGCAAGAATCCGAGATTTTGCGATCAAATGAAGACCACAGAATCATCCTACATCGACCATGTTCCCATTCATATGACAATGGCAAGCCCAGGACTTAAGTCCAATAAGTTTGCCCATAGGGTTGGAGCAGATGGTTACAATGTATAGCTAGACTTCCTGGGAAAGCGGAATGTATAGCATCGACTTCTTTAGAAGAATCAGACTCTCCACGTACGGGTAAGGAATATTTACATCGGGGTTGTTGAAACAGGGTGAATGTAGGTAAATATGCAATCGAAGTGTTTGGGGAATGGTTTACTTAGTCGCTGCCACCCTTTTAACCAACCCAGCTGGGGTAAACATATGCCAGTTTTATGAAGGTGTTTGGTTTTTAGGTCCTTGTTCCAGCGAGCAATTTTATAGGTTTATGCGGTTGTAGTCATTGCAGATTAGAAACCAGTTGATGCCAGCCAGGTGATAAAGTTTAATATACAGTTATGCTGAAATATCGGTTGCATCATTGCATCCAGGACTGTGAGAACATGAGAACTCGGTTTTCACTCCCCACGTTGTGAACAAAATGCTGTTCATGTTTTTTGGGTGCCTGTGGTAGTAGCTGTAGCTTTTGAATGGGCTAGCAACATGAAGGTAGAATCTGTCGTAATGAACTAGGATTTTTAGGCAATGTGGAATTGGTTCACTAAACGCTCAAAATCAACCCTGGCCCTGGCTTGCTTTTGGGGCCTTGCAGGTCATTAAACAATGCGGGTGAGCAAATGGACGTGCATAGAGACACTTATAAATATGATGTTTTTGGGAGGATATTCAGCTAGTTACAATAAGGCTAGCCAATCACACAAGAGGTGCCGCAGACTTGCATGACCCTGAGCGATTACCAACCGCTTCTTGTGGCAGGAGAGCCTCGAGCAAGAATTGGGACCGACCGCCAGGGGCTTTGGGGATCAATCACTGTCGTGTCACAAGAAATTCCTCAGATTGTTTAATGTTGGACGGTCCGAAGTGTGAAGAGCACTGGCTTCGACCGGTTCCCCACCATCCATCATCATCCACGTTCGCTGAAGCGAGAGTGACCATGTGGAAATCTCGAAGGTGCCAAAGGGTCGCAGATGTTGCAGATGTTTTTTGTATTTTGTTTTTTAAGATTGATTCCGATTCGATTGTATTTTCCTTCACCGTCGCATTCCCTTTTGCGAGTCTAACATCTCATGTGTCTCAGGTCAGCCAACAGCTCGGTCGTCAGGCAGGAGCCGCGATTTGGCGCGACAGGATCAGCCCCCCCAAAGCATAGGGTGGCCCTCCTGAGTACTGTAATTACTTAGTCTTAATTCGTCCATTCTGTTCCTTTTCGCTGGTTAACCAAGGTATCCTGGTGTTCACCTTCAGCCACGTTTAGTATATAATAGTGAATGTTGTGGCATTTGCTGGGTTTCGCTTCGGTTTGGTCGCCTCATGTTGCCTATCCAACTGGTCCTTTTCGTCACACCATATTGTTTTCGGAACAAATATACTGTTCTTGATGGGTTCTTCCAAAAGACCATCGGGAATTGGGACTAGTCGGACTGCTTGAATCATCGTGGACCTCCATGAACGGAGTTTCCATCAACTGTATTATTTGCAGTTTACCTGGTGCGATGGCGACTCCCTCTGGTCTGCGAAGGCAGATGCACAACTTTAAAGGGTATGGTACAACTCCCCACTACATGTGCGATCCAATATGGGCCCCATGGGTATCTCGAGCAATACGGCCCCCATAGTTGCACCCACCATTTGTAATTATCGTCTCACTTTATATTTAGATGGTGCACTTTGCCCGTCCAGCTACCAGCAACGGCAAAAAAAATCAGAAGGTGATTGGAGACACTCTTGTGTAGGTTTGGAGGCTCCAAGTATTTTCTATCAAGGTACTTGGATCCCCAAGGACTGGTGACATCAGGACACCCACCTCTGGTGCTGGTCGTTCATTGGATCTGTGCCGGTCGCTCAGAGGTCGGACTGGGCAGACAGCAGTCGCCAACCGGCTTGAGTCATCGCCAGGCCAGGTGTGGGAGATTTGAGGGCCAGGTGTTGGAGAAAGAAACTTCTGTGACAACATCCGGATGGAACAGTGACACAGTGATCATGTGAATTCTTAAAATGATATATTGGATTATTAAATATTGATAGAAACACAAATTGATCAACACATTTCAATACTCCTTCGAACAGAGCTCTTTGAAGGCGTTTTGTGTTTTTGGGCGTTTCCCAGACACTATGCTTGTCATATGCCTACATTGACCCGTCAAACCATCCCAATGGTAAATATGCCAGTCACATGGAGTGTCTGGCGTTTTACTACTTTGTTTTGTGTTGGTTTGTAGAATTGCAGAAGAGTCATTGACCGCAGATGGGCTAACATAATTGCAGAGAAACGTTCCAAGCTTTGGACGAAACAAATAGAAGCTGCTCCAAGAACCTATTCCGGTGCCCGAATCCACGAACTCCCAGATGTTGTGTCATTATGTGTCATTCGGTTCTGCTGGACTGGGAGTATATGCTTTCAGAGTTGCCAGCGCAGCTTCTGCGCAGCTTCAGCTTCTGCTCCACCCCTTACCTGGTGAAGCCGGCGGCGCAACCATTGGTGACGTGTTAGGGACTATAGACCTCTCTTGGGTCGGCAAAGCCTTGAGGTTGCAAAGGAAATCCACTATAGATTGGATGGATAGCTAATTGGATCTAATTGGTGTAGCTACAAGTCTTTGGCTTCACAGACATGCTGGAAACCCCTCCATCACATCTGCTGGGATTGCTGGGATCTTTCTGTAAGAAGAAGACAATGGAAAACACTAAAGCTTGCTAGAAAATAACCTTAACAAAGAAAATACTATAACTAGGAAAGAACACACAAAAAAACACATATGACTTGCTAGAACATGAGGTGCTTGGCTTTCCGAAGCTCCCTTTCCTCTCGCTTCGAGCTCACTTTCACGAGACTCGAGATGTTGCCTCAGGTCACAGAGACCAGCCATTTGAGTCGACAGCTGTCGCCCCCGAGCCAGATGATCCGGAAGGCCAGACGTTCGGTGTGTTTCGGATCCAGGTAGCATGTCTTGGTGGAAGAAGAACGAGATAGGTATGCGTGAAGACCCAGTTTTGACCTCAACTCTGAGCAGAACATCCTTTTTTGGGGCATATCTTCACCATCGAAACACTCGATCTTGGTGGATTTGATGCATACATATAGATCAAACTAATACAGCATAATTACAAATACTGCATATATGATAATTATTTCAATATGATAAATCGTCCTACTTTAGCGTCTAATGGGCTTCATATGCCAAAGAACGTCCGCTCTTTTCGCAAGCATTTGAGGTACGTTTCCGCTGCCCCATGCTGAGAGGCCCATAACCCTGAATCCCGCCACATCCAAGTTCGAAAACCATGAGGTTCAGTCTACACCTGCAGTTTCTAACACTGCGCCATACCTGGCTGGCACCCAAAGAAAGCAGGAGCAAGTCCAACCCCCGGAAGCGAAGAAGGATGGGTTACAGGGTAGCAGCTTCGGTCGTGGACCTGGCCTCGAGCAGAACTCCATCACTTCGGGAAGCAGTTGGATGGCCACAAGCAACTCGGAGTGGTCGACCTCACGTCGGCCGCAGTTGAAGGGGAATCATGAGGTACTGGTACTTGGACCCTCCATGCCCATGTAAAGGCGGTAAAGGTGTCTCAAATTACCTTCTCAGAAGGTATGTGGATTCATAGGGATGGGTATCATAATCTCCGTGTTGGAGTATCAGAACTGAGGTTTGGGGTAGCTGCATGTAACAGCTAGCATGCACATGTTTGTGACCTTCAGGTAGGGCAAGATGACATAACGAGACTCTTCCTCATAAGGTGTCATCATTTGTTGAAGCGTTCATATCCCTTGTTGTAGGCTTTTCTGAGCGCCGTTGGCGGAGGTTGATTTGGGACCACATTAATCAAGCGCCCATCAAGTCTTTGGCGACAGCATCCTCCGGTGCTCATATGGATCAGTTAGGTCAGCTGGATGTGCTGACTGCCAGGTGGCGCCACTGCAATTGAATAATCGATCCTTGACCAACGGCAACCTGAATGCAAAAAACATGAAAGTCCACAGTCAACTGAAATCGCATTCATAGCAATGATCTACAGGAGGAGTTCCAGGATCTTAGCTGCATGTTTAACATGCTGTTGGACCAAAGAAAAAGTCATGACATTGATTGAAATTGTATAGTATTGTGACATGTTTTGTTTGTTCGGTATAGATGATTACCCTACGACACCTAGCGCTCACTTGTTCCTCGCATTGTTTCGGCCTTTGGCACTTCCCTATATATCCCTATATCACTATATCCTCCCAAACTTGGGTCGTCCTTCTTGTCATCGCGACGAATCGCGATGGTCCAAACACCGAGGATGGATCAATGCATTGGATCGGCCCACGGACTTTGCCCGGGCACGCGTGGAACTGGTCATGGATTATCCCATGTGGCTCATGCCTGCAGAGGACGGGTTAATAGAAAAATACTCCCAGAGCATCCACGAATGGGACTGTTTACCTACATCTGAGATGGGCCATTTGGGATGTGTTTTTGGTAGCTCTTCCAGTCCAGTCCCATTCATGGATGGATCTGGGATGTTCTGGATCAGTGGGTCCTCACGGCACCTACCTCGGCGGCTCGGACGGAGCTCCGCCAGCTCGGAAGGTCGAAGCTGACGGGTGGGGGGCTTCGATACCGAACAGTGGAGAGAGACCAACAGAGGTGGGTCAGAACTCTATACCAGGGGGTCACATGGAGTTGGGTAGTGTGAAACGTCCCATCCAGTGGAGTAGCTGGGCACCCCGACTTCCTCCAAGTTCGGCACCCCTTTGTGACTCCTGGTAGACTCATAGTCTATCCCAGTTGGGTACCCCAGGTAGTTCCGGGTCCGAACGTTCAGGTCACTTGACCTCGTACCTTGGATATCCTTGGATCATTGAAGGCGCACGACGGGACGACCTGAATGGCACCCACCTACATCACAGTGTAGTGTCTCACATCACCTGAGAAGATCCACGGAGAATTAGGTCGATCGGAAAGCATTCACCGGGTTCAGCGAGTCGGAGAGGTCAGTTGGTCTCGGTGGTTAATCAGAACAAGGATGCCGGGAACAACAGCCGTGCCGTGGCCAGGAATTGGTGAATTTGAGAGGCCCTCTACAACCTCATCATGAGCTTGCCCTTTGACTCGACAGTGGAAGTCGAAAGCGCCAAAAAGCATCGACAAAATCATGGAGCGGATGACACGAAGAGCATCGAAGAAGCTTTTATCACATCCGTGATTGAGTTGGTCGAGTGATAAGCAAAATGAGAGACTTAACTTAGATGCAACAAACACAAACACCCATCTAATCACCCTTCAGACCATGTGTTTTTCCAGTGACCATTAGATGATGCAACATGATGCAACAAACACGGCCAGAGACTTATATAGTATATGTGGATGTTGCATCCCTGGCGACACGGTTTCCACACCCTTTCCTCACCTGGCGAGGTCCCGGTGACTTTGTCGACCGAGGTGAAGAGCGGTAAGCTGGTGAAGTGGGGGGAAGGACGTGGCTTGGTGATGAGAGGGGTGCAGAAGAATGACACGACATGACACGACCAATGAGTTGGTATGTGTTGAAAACACCACGATTTCCAGCGCGATTAGAGCGCTTTAAGCGGCTGAGTCACAGGTTTGTTTCAGGGTCTTTCACGCCGCGGCCAGAAAAACACCACTTATATTAAGTCCGTTCTTTTTGTGACTATGACTCGCATGACTATAACTTCTTTTGGAGTTGCAAACATTAGGACACGAACAGGCCTTGAGCAGTCCTGAGCAGTCGAAGTGAGATTGCGCACCTATTTAGAGGATCCAGGTTTCAAACCTGTGAAAAAAAAGACGCCAAAAAAGAACGGCTTACCGCTTATAGGCATCAACGCACGCAAACGCACCGCCTTTCCCTTGTTGTTGGCCTAGCCATGCCTAGCGCGCCTGATCGAAGGAACGCGCCGAAGTTCGACTGCGCCGTTTGCTCAGGTAAGAGGAAGGTGGTCCTGATCTCGCACCAGCAACTTGGAGATTCCGTTCACCGGGTGAACGAATTGGTCGACACCAGAATCACTAGGACCTGGGGGATGATGGATGGATGAGGTTGGTTTCTAAAGGGCAAGGATGGCTGATGGAGCCAATTAGCTTGCTTAATGCTTAATAGTTTGCATGAGGTCAAATTGTGGCGCTTCTCCAGCTACATGTATGAACTCCAGCATGTGTTTCACGAGAACGGGTCCTGTTATCAGGCGGGTCCTGTGGTGCGGGTCCTCTTGCTCAGGTGGGCTGGGAAGAGGCATCCTGATCCTTACATGGACCAGATCTCTGTTCTCCAGGCCGAGTTGATTTTTTGTCGGGGGGGTTGGTGGGTTGGCTGGGCATGCATGGCCTACCAACCGGGCAAACCTTCGCCGATGTGATGTAGGACATCATCCATGGCACCACCTGAGAAAAACGGTCGGTCACACTGAGAACTGACCGGTGTGATGCTTTGGTGTATTTTTTTTTCAAGCATGTTTTGTATATAGTCTTTCCGGAAAGGTCGTCCTAATCACGGTTTTGTGAAAAGGTCGAGTCTCACATTTTGTTCATCGTAAAGCAGCCAGCACACGTGACTTGAAGTCAACGTCTTTGAGTAGATGATATCATGATTCATGATAATATAGCCAACAAACATAATATCTAGATCCATACACAACTGGCCTCACTGTGAACACTTCTGACATCTTCTGACGCAATATGTGTTTGTTTGTTTGTTTGTTTTTGCGCCACAAGAGACGTTTTGAACAACATACAACAAGATTTGCTTAACATAAGTATATATATATATTAATATATAACACACAATTAGACACATGCAAAATTCAGTCCCGAAACAAAGACAAAAGACGGTACTTTGCATAGCATCCACAAGGAACGCTAATACCCCCTTTAACCAAGCATTAAACCATCGAGCTAGTTAAGGTCGGTTTAATGGGTTTGGTCAATCATACATACGTTATGGCTCATGTGGCAGAATAGCCTCCAGTTCTTCCACTTGTTGGATCCTGTAGTTGTCAAATTGTTTCTGGCTTTGTATCAGAGCAGACCCGTGACATCCACCAAACAATGAGCTGTAGAAAGGCTGTAGAAGGTGGATTCCATGACCAATGAACTGTACAGAGTACAGAGCTTCAACAGGTGGACCACCTGTTTCACACAGACCCCCAACCCCTTGGCATGGCGAAATGTCTCCGGTTCGGTCCAGCCCTCTGGGGCCGCAGGACCTGCTGCTGGAGATGGCGGCCGGAAGGGTCAAGGCAGGCTTAGACCGGTCACAACCGAGTTGCCACGCGCTGCCACATGCGGCCACGCGCGGGAAGCAGTTCCGCAGGTCTGTCTTTCGATGTCTTGGGCGTGTTTTTTCTGTTTTTTCCGGACAAATCAGATGGTTTTGGTGTCCTGTGAGGCCTTTGGGGGTGAGTTTGCAAAAGCCAGCCAAGAATACTGTGGTTGCAGGCAGGTGGTTCTACTGTATGTCTATGAGTCTATGTCTATATTGTAATTCAGTATGTTTATGGAGCCGATGTAGGGGTCTCTCAAACTACAATACAACCAAGGAAAAGCGGAAAAAGATGTCCTTCATGCCGTCAACGGGTCGGGTCACCAGGTCCTTCACGCAGCCATTTGGGCCAAGGCGACAAGCACTTCTGGTGAGTCTTTGTCCTTCTTTCCAATTCCAGTGCACTCTCCGTGGGGCGGGGGTCTCAAGATGGAGCGGTCGTCTATCCGAAAACGGAGAAAACGATAGACGACCCCAGTCCACTGGCTGTTCTCTAGTCCCAAAAGTGACGGACAAAACCATGACAACGCTTTTCGACCTCTCGTGAGTTTCAGGAGATCCTTTCTAGATTCCATCATAAATATTCAACATCTCTTTCTCTTTCTCCCTCTCTATTTATATATATCAGATATAATATAGAGATTCAGATAAACCATCAATTGGACCCCCCCATTCTTCTGGGAACATCCGGCCACTTGTTCGTCCACCGTGGCACTTCGATCATTTGAGCCTTGAGACTCGGCAGGTCCGCAAGGACCTCATCGCCGAGATGATGGGCTCCAACGTGGCCTTGCCCAGCGAGGAGGCGCGGGGAGCGTGGAGAAAGTCCGGCCGTGAGAGGTGAGGATGCTGAAGATGGTGAGGATGGGTTTGTCCCAGGAAACCTGTAACCGGTTTGTCCATTTCGAGCACATCACGATTTTAGAGAGATGGATGGATGGATGTCGGCCTGCCACCGAATTATCACCTACCCATGGATGTAGTTTTTGTATATATTGGAACTCCTGTTCGGATCGCAGAGGATGCGTCAGATTGGTTGGTCATGGCTGGGGTGCTACGCAGATAAGTTGGTTGTCTCATCGTTAATCATTAAGAGTCAATGAGATCGGTTTCTCACAGGATAGTTTGCATGTTCAATATCCTCATGGGTGCTTAAAGGTGAAGGTTCTTGAAAGGTCAAGCCTGTGCAATCCAGCAGCTTAAAATCTTCTGTTATGTGAATCATCTAGACTTTGGGGCCCCAAGGTGGCGTGGGCAGAACGACAACAACATCATCAACTAACATGTGGACGAGTTCCAGGGTTCGCCCCCTCCGTCCGGCCACGGAGTGGAGCCGTCCGTCCACGGAGTGGAGACCGACCCCATGTGACCGAGTCATACCACTGAGGTCACGAGACGGCCCCGCTGTTCGCCCTAGTCCCATCAACGTTTCACCACCTGACGATGGCCCCATTCCCAAGATGGATGGTTCGTTAGCAGAGCGTTCATGCTTGATGTTGTTCATTTGACAACTGCGACAATCATTCCAAATCAGGCTTACATAAATTTTACGAGAAACATCTCCAGCCTTCCCTACTTACTGCATGCATAGTTTTGATTGGCACTTTCTTTCAAACCACCTCTTTCAGAAGATACTTTGGACTCATGGCGATCTGAAATTGCTCCCAAAACCACGTGGGGTGTCGATGCCCCAAAACCCATTTCCCGATGGTTAAGCACACGCCTCAACAAAAACTTCCCCCGGCACCAGGAACAGCACAGATGTATGGAGTGGGATATTTGGTATGACTTCTTCGGGATTCCACAGGCGCGGCCACTCAAGGTATGGGCACATCAGCCCACCCGGATGCCAGCACTGGCGGGGAATGTGACCTTCTGAACCCAGGCATGGTATGTAGGCCGAAGCCAGACTGTTTGGGCATAGGGATGCATCAGGCGTCCCCCGCAACCTCCCCAATGTAGACACATGATTATACCATATATAATCTATATATATAATATATATACATATATACAGTATTTATACTATATGTCCATAGGTGTTTTTTGGGAGGTTATTGCTTGCTCATGGACCGCAGCTCGTCTTCTCGCCTTGTCTACGATTTGCTTCGATGACTCGCATCGCTTCGCATCGCTGGCACCTCCCGGCAGAGACCCGAACGGTTCGATCTGTATTGCGACCTGGGTCGGTCATATCCAATCCCTAGGGATCCAGTCGTACCGAACCTCAGAAGGTACGACTGGACCCTCAAAACCTACATCATAAGAGTGTCTCCTTCCTCACCTTCTGAGAAGGTACTTGGATCCCTAGAGAATCAGATTCTGCATGGGAGTACAGGTACATCAATCAGACTACATTGTGGCAGTACTACACTGTGACTCCGACCATTTCTTTTGCATGTCCATGTACGCACGGTGCCTTGCAAGCCGGATGCGTACTTGATCGGCGGCCACGGAAGATGTGCTGCACCGGGCCCCAAAAGAGAGTGAACCACGCAAATCAAATCCCTTGGGCGTACACATATATAAGCAAACGGAATGCATGGGATTTTGATGAACTCATCGAACTTTGGCTTGGATGTTACCCAGACACTCCATGGGACTGCCATATTTGCCCATCAGTTGGGGTGGTTGTATGTAGGGGTTTAGGGTTTAGGGCGGCAGTCCGTCCTGCCAGTCCCAGACAGGTCGTGTCTGGGTTAGTACACATGTTCCTCCAGTTACCAGTGCTGAGGTGGACGATCGAGGCTGCGTGGCGTGTATCCCGGAGCTGCAAGCGGCGGTGGAGCCTTGGTCACCAGTGGCGGGCGCGGAGCGAGAGGACCGAACCAAACAGACACTCCAACCATCTCCAAGCTACTTTAAAAAAAGGCCTGGTAGACATGGGGTGGTAGACATGGACACATTACTTGTGTATGAGAGAGTGCCGACTCTCCCACAGCCACAAGGGAGGTTGTTCGAGTGAGAGGATGTCTTAATCCATTCAGAGCGGATCATGCATGTTAGACCATGATAACCACGTTAAACCGAGATTGGTGTCCATGTATATATATAAGCTTATGTTTATATAGGATCTATCATGAATCTTCGCAACTGTTTGATTTTGATTGGCGGTTGCCAAGCAACCGACTCCGGTGACAGTCATTTCCCGACTCCGATCATTACCCCGGTCATCATCATTCATTCCACACGTTCTGAACAAATGTTTCACACAGAATTGAAGGGTTTCCACCTTAATTGATGGGCTTTGCTTCAGTGGGGGTTCCAAACCATCCCACATTGCTTCACATAATATCTTTAATCTGAAGGCTTCGCTTCGCTTTCTTGGAAAAACAATGCTCCTCAACACGAAAGCTTGGCTGGCTTCTCCTGTTGTTTGCTCAGCGGGAAAAAAGCTCGCCGTGATTGATGAACATTCAAGGATAGCATCCCTGCCTACTGTGACGCAGCGGACTACGTGGCTCGGATGAGGGAAGAGTGAGCTGTACACACTGTGTCTCTGGGTGACTTGAGAACATCACAAGTAACTAAGTAGATTGAGAACTGTTCAGAGTAGATGGCTCATATTGGATCATATTGTCACATAGCCCTTACCTACTTTTGGATGGGGACCATGTACACCATATTTTGGGCTTGGTGGGCCATCTACTCTCAACCTCCTGTATATATATATATAGTCGTATAGCTCTTCCATATGTTGCGGGCGGTAGTACATGTGTGGAGCCACAGACTTCTCCAACGCTGTCTGTCAGCGCGCTACATGGTGTCTGTCAACGAGCAACATAGGTGAAGAATGGTGAAGATAGGCATATGGTGGCATTGAGTGGCACTGATTCCTTGGCTTGCGTTTCGCTTCAAGTCTTGCCCGATTCGGGTGTCCAAAGGAGATCAGAGGTTCATTTGCCTTTTAGCAGGCTTTGCCTTTTGGTGGCTAGCCCTGTTCAATATCGATGCCACACGTGCAATATCTTTGGTTGGAAGTTGGAACAACGCATCGGTTCTGGTCACAACTCAGGGACCTGCGGAGCGGACGAAGTAGATGACGGATGATAGTATTAAGTAGTATGAGTAAGGAATATATTGAAATATGATCCTTGACCTGTGGGTGCAAAACAGAGTGAGTGTTTCTCAGTCATGACTGTTCATTTAAAACTTATATGTATACACACCCTTTTACTTACCATGTAACTGAGAAGCGCAGGATGGGTGCCGGATCAATCCCTATGTTGCCAGCCCATGCAGAGTTGAGTACGGAATCAGCAGGGATGTTTGCCATCACTTGTGCATCACACGCGTTCCAGATGATACAAAACATACACCTGGGAAGAGACCCACATGGAACCTGAAGATGGACCTTTGGAAGTCTACAAACCAGTGGTTTTCCTCTTCATTTGCATCGCACGCAAAAAATCATCATCACAAAACATCAACAGGTTGAGTTTGGCAGCCATTCGGTTGCCATTCATCAGCAATGTTTCATCGTTTTTCGAGTTTTTTTTTGCGAACCAGATTGGTGGGTTCACTTCCCGCTGGATTTGCCCCATGGATTGGGGATTTTTGTTGGGGAAGACGTTCAGTCAAAGGCAGATGCACCGGGAATGTCCCTCGTGTAGACGGTTTGTCACGTGAAAAGCAAGAACCATTCAGTCACGTAAAGCACCCAGATGGGTATGAATGTCAAACCACCGGGTACCCGCTGGACAGTTCGGAAACTAGACCTGTCTACCTATAGCCAGGGCCAGGTGTCCCCCTGTTGATTACAATACCCCCTGGAGTGACCCGTGGAAAGCGATTAGTATCCAACGGTTTGGTTTGAATGTGTAAATCATCTCTAGACTGCTTTCTTTCTGCAGCACTTGATATCAATATCACTTGATCATTGAATTTTCAACTTAGCGGGTGACATCTGTAACGCTTGTAGCTTTACCATGCTTTACCATAAGTCTTGCAACAGATCCAGTTGGCATCCAACGATTTGGATCAGGTGATCATTCTGGCGCCCACGGTGAAACATGCCGACACAGGCACGAGCATGAGCCTTTAACGGGGCTCAGTGGAAGAACACTCAATCAAGTCTTCAAGTGGGTTAACATGGATTTACTATGTACCCAGGGAATCTGGAGCAGCCACTGATGTGCAGGTGAATCGTATGTGCAGGTGGTTCGCCCAGGTGATTCGCATGGCTGCCTGGGCTCAGAATAACCATGTATTCAGAATAACATCCGCATGTCAGAATCACATCAGGTAATTCGTATGATGATTCGTACGGCTGCCCGGTGAATTCTTGGATCCATCATGTACTCGGAAATTCCACCTCCGCGCGACGGCGAACCAATCCGCACAGATCCGACGAATCTGCGACGAGGTCGTGCACCGGATCGGTCCGAACGAACACCGCCTTCGGGTACGACTGGATCTTCACTTCATCATCAAAGCGTTGGACAACCACATCACTGTATGCCTCAGGAAAACCTTCCGATTTGCTCAGACTTTGTTGGTGCCAGGCGCCCTCATGAACTACGCCACCTGGGGCACCCGCGGCTGGTGCCGCGTGGAGCGCACCGCTACGGCCCTCTCGGCCAAGGATCCGGCGCGGGGGCGCGGGGGAAGGAAGGAGAAGGATGATCATGGTCACAGAAGTTCCTACGACTGAGTATAGGTGTATATATTCCTTCTATATAGGGACTTTTTTTGACATCAGGTTCGATTTCGCTTTAGAAGTCAGTGCGAACCGAAGGAGGTACCAGATGGAGAGATATGGCGAGCGAATTCGGGTGAGGTGAGCGGCTGGTGGTGTGGGGGGGTAGCCCGAAACACACATCAAGGCAGCATATGATACACACTTCGGACCAAAAGTGCTTGGATCAGTGCTTCCCTGAGATGGTGGACTCGGTTTCCCAAAGACCTTCGACGTGGTGTCCATGTACCTAGGGATGTACCTAGCGGCCTTACACAGTGACCTCTATAAAAGGGACCAACCACCCAAAGTATGGTCAAATGATGTGAACACTCATTTGGGCTCTAGAGATGTATATGGTATAGAGGGCATTAGTGTTCTTTTTCCATCAGCCACAACATGCATCAACATGCGAAACAAATCCACACCACTCCCCTGACCTGGAGATTTGCCAAGCCCGACCTGGAGGGCCGGGGGGGTGAGTGTTCATCAGTTAACGTTACAGTGGGTCTCAGTCTTTAAATATAGTGCCTCTTCGAGGTGCAACTTTCTCCCAGAAATCAAGCAGTGTGCATTTCATTTGATCTATGGCCCCTGTGACATGATTATTGTTCCCTCCAGTAGAGATGCCTCCACATGGTGCTGCCAACTGATCCCATTCATCCCATGCTTGACTGGGGTAGTTGGTCAGGATTTTTTTCCCCAGCGAGATGACACTGTGCCACAGGAGAAGCCTTTGTTGGTGGTCACCAAGGCAAATTCCATTTTTCCCTCCTCGGGCGCAGAATGGACACCTGTCGGCAACAGTGAGGATGCAGGGAGGAGAGCCCAATGTTATCCAAGTTCTATGTGCCGGACTCATGCGGCAGGATGAGCGTTGTTTTACACAGAACTCAGAATCACTTATGGCATCATATGACTATTTATAGGGTCTGTCCTATTACCTGCAACAGTCAGTAAACAATTATCATGATGTTTGAACAAGGCCTTGACTAACCATCATCATCCACTGTTACAATAAGATAGACCCAAACTATGTATACCTATAAATCTTTCTTTATATATACTTGATATGATGGCCGAAGCAACTCCAGTCAGTTGTGCAGGCATGGACATTGGATAGATAGCCCTAGAAAACCATGATCAGGCGGTGGACCATAGAACAATCCTGGAGTGGAGCACAGATGATGGACTGCAAACTGTGAACAGAGGGCCCTCTTCCTATTGAATGGAGCAATTGAATTTTGCTCTCATTCTATCTAATTACATGTGGATAACCAGCATGTATGTTTGCTTTTGCCAGGGTGACCCTACAGTGACATCACGTGTAACATGTATTCCGACTGGATCATCCTGTAGGTTTTGTGTTTATTTGTCCAGAACATGCTTGGTCGATGCTGATTTGTCCTTCGATTCATGCTGCCCAACCTTTGGGAGATCTAAACAAAGCCCTGACGCATTGACACCGACACTTCATCCGGCGTCGTTCATGGCACCCGGAGCCTTTGGTTGACCACCGAAGAAGTTCACAGAATTGAATCGACTACCAGACATGGTCAACCTACCAGGGTGACCAGGTCTCCCGGTTTTAACCGACAACCATATCACCTGCGTTAATTGGTTGCAATGCAAGTCAGTCACATAGAGACCAGATGTAACTCATCACAGATAGCTTGATGATCCATCCCGTGAAAAAAAGGGGGATAAAAACAGGCCGGGATCTAATTGATAGGGATTCTCTCATGGATCTCTCAGGCATTCTGACCCGTTTGAGAACCTCTTCTCGACCTCGAAGGGCCGTTCGTTCGACTCGACAGGATCCAAAGTTGGCCGCACGATGGAGACTTCACCGTGGAGGAGGCAAACAAGACACACCCAAACGCTAGGAGGTTGGAAAGAAATGGTTGTACTGAAGTGGTTCAGTACATAGTGCTATAGCCCTATGGATCCACTGTCATCCACTGAGAAGGGGATTGGAGACTCTGTTATGTAGGCACCAGGAGGGTCCAGTTGTACCTGACAAGGTGCCAGTGGATCCCGACAGCCTATAGGGATGCGATCCACTTCTCAAGTTTCCGACGTAAATGTTCCCCCTGTGTTTTTTTGTTTTCTCGCGAACTTTGTTTTGGCCTCTCATATGGTGCAACGATGCGCAACGTTGGGGTCTTGGAGGGGCTCCCGGGTCCCCGGCAGGTGGTTTCCTTCAAGGACCAACATGGACAGAAACACCACAGGGAGGACCCATCGACCCTGGTCCATCCGCACTGGGTCAATGGATGTTTAAGATGTTTTGAGGGTCAATGTATAGGTGAAACCACATGTTTTTTACTGGAAATTAATGATACAAAAGTCAATCAATTGATCATCAATGTTTGTCATTGTTCATGAGTATCCATGTGTTCAGGGTCAGCACAGGTGAAATATCAACCATTCTAGAGACATCTTCCAGTCTGGAGCTGGTCTTCGCCGTGCCCTTCACCGTCACCGTCGTCACCGTCGTCACCGTCGTCACCGTCGTCACCGTCCAAGTCTACACGAGCGGAGAGAGGATCGTCAAACGGTGGAGACCTTGACGAAGCAACTCCTGGAATTGAAATGCGCCACTCGGAGTGGATCCGGAGAAAACGAGACCAGCGAGAAAAAATGGATGGCAAAGGGGTAAAGGCTTGGTGATGGCAAAAGTGGTCGACACAGACATAGACATCGACACAGATGTTGAATTGATTTATACATATATTGTTAGTGCTGATACAAAAGACTGGAAGCGTGGACACAATATAGACCGATTGACATATGTCCAACACATATTACACCCCCATGCCCATCAGGTTTAACTATAGACACACGTATACATGAGAGGTTTCTCCAGCAGAATGTTCCAGATGATGACTCTTGGCTTTGCACTCGGGCTTCCATGTGGCACTCCAAGCCGGAGACCCGGAAGTGACAGATTTTTTTGAACGTTGCCATCAGGGGCCTTTGAACCGAATTCCAGTGTCACAAATGGTGACCGATGGTGTCACATGGCATGACTCCAAGGGGTCTCACTCCAGCAAATTATAGCAATAAATTCAATGGGGTCAGCAATGGAAGCCCCCACATGACTGAACGCCGCTCGCGTTCGATCAAAACATGCCAATACCACAGCATATGACTGCGCCAGTCGGCCGCATGGCACGGCACGCGTCCCAGGCCTACATGTTGCAGTCGGGTGACATGCACCGATGGCGCTTTTACAAGGCCCTCACCGCGAAGAGACTCGGAGAGAATCCCTTCCCCAGAGCGACCGCGGGGAGATGCTGGAGATGGGGGGGGGTTGGATGAATCCAACCCGGGTTCCTGGCCGCCCCCTCCATGTCGGTTCGGTGGTTGGGGTGGGTTCCAGGTCTAGCCACCTTCTGCATGAGAATATGCAAATACCTTTTGGCAAATACCTTTTGGCATATCTTGGGACTTGACATTGTCGTGATGATGCATTGACCCTTGACATCCTTTGACGCGTTTGTTTCTTCTCTTAACGGGCGGCTGAACGGTCACTGTTCTTTTTGGTCTCAGCGGTTGAACCGATCAGCACCAGCGGCTTGCTGCCGGTTACGGCAAGGCTGCTCTTTGACCGACCTTGAGGTGCCCAACGGTTCGTGCCCACTTTGGGTTTCCAGGTTTCTTCGGATATTCCAAGAGAGGTAGCCAGTGACCTGAACGTTCGGACCCTACTGGGGTACCCAACTGGGATAGTCTAGTTCGGGTTCTTCAACCTTTGTGGGTTGGCTGCAAAGGTATATGTTGGAGAGGAATTTGTTGCTTGAACACATATGGGCGCCCATGATCACGGAACCGCAGTGTTTGAAGACTGAACTTGTTTCTCATGTCCCCAGATAAAGCTTTGTGCATCCTATTTGTTCCAAGTCGCAAATAGTTCTTTAATCAATATGCACAGTTATCGGTTGATCCCTCATAATGGCTTTTCCGACCCACTCAGACATGCGTGAAGAAGTATTGGTATAGGAAAGGCATCTACAACTTCTACAACATTCTACAACTAGGGCACAAGAGGCAATGAAATGAACAATATGGACACCTGAGAAACACCATTGTGCATCTTTGTTGTCTCCGCTCTTCAAGGTGTCAGTGAATGCAGGTCACCCTCTCCATCCCTCCTCACGAGGTCGAGTGATGAGGATGTGGTAGTTTGGGCTTTGCTAAGTTTATGTTCCACAACCCAACAGGAACCTGGCTGATCAGACCGGTCAATATGGCTGGACTGCCCCATTCCCGAACATAACAGGTCTTTTTTGAGATCCTTCGACGGAGCAAACCAGGCGGTCGACTGGGTCTCCCATTCTCCCTAATAAGTGGTCACAACTCACAACCAATTGCTCGTCAACTCCACTTGTCTTCGTCCAATCCACCGCGAAAGGCTGCGCTTTGGAAGCCGCGTCGTCGTCGCCGCGTCGTCGCTGCGGCGGAACGGCGTGTCGTCGCTGCGGCGGAACGCTGCGCCGAGGATTCTCCGAGCGCGCGCGGTGCGCCCCAGCCAAAGAAAGAGCTTGTCCGAGGGCTTCCAGCGCCTCAACCGACGGCATCGCGATTCCGCGTCCCGCGGGGAAGATGGGGAAGCCAAGCGCTGTATACGAGGGCTCGAGCCCTCGTGGGCTGAAATAAGATTCCACAGCTAAAGGCACTTAAATATTTGTTCAATATATTGTATAAATGTTTGTTTGTCTATTGTTTCTTGAGAGAAAGTCGCTTTTCATGGGTATAGTTTGCCTCATGCCACGTGCACGGTTCTAAAAAAGGGTTTGTATTAATGACATCGAGCTGGTAAGCAGCAAGCCAAAAAAGCCAGGCCAGTGGAAATCCCTTGGACTCCGTATTCTTAGGAAGATCATCCTGACTGTGATGGAGAATGAACTTGACTGTTAGGAAGATCATTTGACTCCGTATTCTTAGCCATGGAGTGGTCGACCAATGATTTGCGGGGGAGAGATCATCCTGACTGTCCGGCAGCTCCTGGCGCTAAGGAAGCAGGAGATCATTGACTCTTTTCAAGTCTCTTGGATGCATAGGAGGTGCCACGTGATGCATAGGAGGTGCCACGAGTCGTGGGGTTGTTTTGAAAGATGTGTTGACCACCATCTTCCCAGGGACCTCTTTGGAGTCATCCACCTGTCAAACAGGCCTGTGACAGTGACCGAAGAAACCAGGGGATCAAGTTTGGTCACTTGATGTCACTTGGTTCAGATCCAGGTTCAGCGACTCAGCATGACTCAGTCACATGGGCTTTCTTTTTGGCCTCTGGCTAGTGAGTTCTCTCAGACACATTGATTCTATGTCGCATCCTGAGTACACATTGATCCTGCGTACGGTTGGTTCGCATCTTCGCGTACGGCTGCCGGTTGCTTCGCACCAGTCGACGAGTCGGCAAGGGACCGGTGTGGTGTGCGTGTGGCGGGCGTGGTGTGCGGGGCGCATCAGGACCTGAACAGGGAATCCCTGAAGGAAAGAAGTAATCCCATTGCACTCCTAAGCCTTGGGTATTAGATGGTAGTTTAGATGGTTTGTTGTAAACGAACCCAAAGACTCTGGGGTTGCCTCGAACCTGGATACTTTGAAGAACACGAAGCTTATGACCACCATGATGTGGATTGATGATAGTTTTGGGGTAAGAATTGACCCATGTCATGCCATGTTTGACATTCTGGAGTGTCGATTTTGGCTGATCGCATGGCGGATGGCCTTTTTCGGGAGCCTATCATATTCTATCCAGACTGTAACCAGACTGTTTCTTTCAACACTTTGACGATCACACCAACTCCCCCCCCACACACCCAACTCACACACACACTGACCCGTGTGGGCTCGCGCGCGAGAAATGTTGGCGAATGGAGCGAGCTGCGAGACACCGAAGGTGAACTACCATTTCAACAGCATTTACTTCAACGAAGGCCTAACGCCGCTCGCTCAGAAGCAGAACGAAGCACGCGTAATTATTGACAATTGATGCAACACTAGTGGACGAAGGAAGGGGATGATGGTGGTGATACTTTTGAGCTGGAGACTTTGGGATGCTGACCGGCAGTGTTTGTTGATCTGCTGTGTCAACAACCACTCGAACGATGATACCTCGTGCGATGTGGTCGTTGCTTCTAGGTTTGCCCTAATATGCCATAATACTTGTAACAGTGGGTAATTAGAACATCACATCACTAGAGCTAGAGATGTCGGCCACCTAACCATCATCCACTCAGCCCTGGTGGGAGAGACCCAACTTCTGTACTACATTGGAAAGATCACATGTGATCTCCCCATGTTTGTAGGCCAGGACCTGATAAAGGCGAGAAGGATGGGGTTCCCATCACTTGGTCGTCCGCTGCTCCTTTTCGGTGCTACGCACCAAGCAGGTCGTCCAGATCGTTTTTGCTTACGTTATATGGTGTCCTTATGGGCAGTGAATCCGCTTCTGGCGAATAGTGTTGTCCATGTGTTTTCCTTTTCCAGGCTCCGGAAAGCAAATCCAAGACATGCTCCATGATCCATGTTCCCTCCATCTTTTTCGGAGCCACCCAGCTCCCCGACCTCAGGTCGTTGATGCTCGCGTGCATCGAAGGATGTACACAGACTGTTCAGCTGCTGATTGACTCGAAGGTGGGGTTGACATCAGGGTATGGGCCATAGGTGTATATTAGGGAGACATCCCAGGCAACGACCCCTGGAAGCAGGGAAAACCATTTGTGTACTAAAATACACACGTGTTCGTGTGAGAAGGCACACAATGAAGACTTCATCTCAGGTGTTTGCTGCTAACAAAAAAGCAGAGACCCTCTGAAAAGAAGGCCTTCCTTGCCGCCTGCTTACTGTGTGTAAATGTAGCGAAAGACTCATCTACCCACCCACGGAAAGGCACGGGTCCGGGCAAGGGATGTCCATGCTCTCGCCAAAGGCAGCCGGGCCGACTTTGTCGTTTTGGTTCACCAAATGGAGCTATACCGGTACAACAAGTTGGACCAATACCTGGTGTTGCTTAAGGTCATGTTTTGTTTTTCCCTTACGGTTAAATCATGCTAATTCCCCCTCTGGTGAATATTTTTCCAGGTTCCTCAAACAAATCCAAGAATAGTTCCGAGAATAGGTTTGATCATGCCCTAGGTGTCCACTGCCACCCTCTCAGGTTCGGTACAACTGGACCCGACGTTTTGGCACCTACATGTCTCAGTGTCGAACACCGTCACTGTACCACAGAGGGTATGTGGATCCCTAGGGATGTAGCAAATGTCCTAGGGATGTAGCAAATGTCCTAGGGATGTAGCAAATGAATCAAGTCTACAATGGACGGCATGTGCCGGTCACCACGCGGTTTCGTGTCAAAGCCGATGAATCAACGCTGACATCCGCTGACCCTCCAATGTCCGCCGATGTCCTGGCCTTATGGACGCTGGACGTAGCTGCTACGCATCAAATCTAGAATTCAGTAGGTCTGATAGGTCTGCAACCACAGACCCACAGAGAGCAAAGCAAGCATCTGGATTGAACTTGTACGATTGTACAATTTTTTGACAGGATGCAAACACTCCAAAGCGGCCAATTTACAGAGCAGCAAAGGTTTCTTTGGACCTGTTCAAAGCTCAGGTGTCTTTCTTCCTCGGCCCAGACCTTCCCACCTTCCCGATCGACCGAAGCGACAGAGATCCCGGGACCGGCGAAGGACCCTCCCAAAGGCGACACACCTGTTGACACGCTCCGACACGTTCCGCAACCTGTTGACACCGGAACCGCAACTTGCAACACCTCACTGCAAGACCTCACTTGCTAAGCCGTTTTGCTGGTGCGCATGGGTTTGAACGGGTACGGGCATACGTCGTTAAATGTTGTATAATGTTGAATGTTTCAAGAGCAAGTACGGATTCGTTCGGGTTTGAATGCCTCTGAAAGTCCCCAAATGGATAGTGAACAAAAAGCGTAGTGGCGTAGTCAAACATTATTGTTCTGTGTGTCGAATCCCTGCGAAGCTCCACATGTTGCAAATTGCGGTTGTGTATTATATGGGTAATTATATTGGTAATTAATTTATTGTAGTTCATTTGTTTGTCACACCAAATTTTGAATGAATTCAGGAACGCTGGAATGCTCTACAATTTCCGAGTTTCTGGTGTCGCAGGTACATGCCAGGACCCCCCAACAGGCTACTTTGAGATGCTAACAGGTCGTTTCCGGACAGACGGAAGACATGTTGCATAGGCCCTGAGGTAGTCGTCAGTCGTAGCGGAAGACAATGTGTGTGTGTGTGTCAGTGCTTTCAAGTAGTCCTCAGGCCTCAGGCTTTGCAAACTCTTTCCATACTTGTCCATCTAGTCATACTCCCCAGAGACTCTGTCTTAGCTTCAAAGACTCTTTTAAGTTTAAACATGTTAAAACGGCGGAGCCGCCACTACCCCTTCTGCCAGGGGGTCCAATTCGGCTCACCCCCACGTTCCGGGACCTCGGACGACCGGGTCGGACCTGTCAGGCAGAGGTGAATGCCACCTGGAAGGGCTCCATTCGAGAGGTGCCGAACAAAAAGGGGATCGCAGAGTGGACAGCACGAGTCTGCTCGTCTTCGCCCCGCTCGTTGCGCCCCGCTCGTCTTGCTGGATGTGGGCCGCGATTCTGCCATGGTGATGCAGGTGGCTAAAGATGTTGATGTCCAATTTGCTTTGCCTGCATTCAGTGTGTTCTGTGACAGCTGCAATACAGACAACCTTTCACAGATGGCTGTGTAAAAAGAGACTTGTATCAATGGATGTGCTTTTAGGGGGCACTTAATCAAGACCCATATTCTTAGAGTGAAATATTGTCCAAGTCTATGCTTTGATGGCCAAAAACTTCTCAAGGCTCGCCAAGTCTCATGATTCTCATCACCCGGACTCGCGCGGAGCTTCTCGCAGGGTTCAGTCCCGCGTTTCTCGCTACAATGACGAAATCACGATCTTCAAGTTGCCTGAAGCATGTATCCGGGTTCTGACATACTTCATTACACAAAATTTCTAATTATTTATGTTAGATTATATCTATCAATGGTAAAATTGTATCAACATGAGATAGCATATTGTCACTAGTATCATGATATGACTTATACTCATGCTAGATTGCTTATATACCCATTAGTTTTGTTTGGCAAACTTTGGAAATCAGCATTCCATGAACCTATACATCATCGTGACAACTGGACCCCCCCAAACAAAGAGTTTACTTCTGGTCCCAAAAGTCTTAAGTTCGCAACACCAGAACCCAAAAGTCTTAAGACTTCGGCGGCCTTTCGTACATCGGTGATCCCGGTCTTCCCGGCAGCACGGCCAGCACGACCACGCCCGGTGACAGCGGGAGGTGCAACGGACTGTCCGTGCGTCGCTTGGGAGGTGCAACTGGAGGGCACCCATACGGCGCTCTCCATCTCGGCAGCTTTCTCCACCAGTGAGGCGAAAGGGCTTCTGTGCGGACGCGGGACGCAGGGACGGGTCCCGGGTGTGTTTGGGTGATGGTTACGGCCAGTGCGAACATGGCGGAAGAGTGGGAGAGGTCTTGTTCATTCCATCGATGGCACTCATGCATGACGGCCACCGCAGGAGCAGAGCGGCAAAACAAAAGGAAATTAGGAAACAAAAGGAAATTAGGCGGAAAAGAGTGGGAGAGGTCTGAAGAATGAGGTCTCGAGAAAGTAAGATAGACGATGATAGAAGCATTTCTTGGAGGCAAGGCAGTTCTGAGCTGGTCGGAAAGGAGTTGGAGGTGCAAAGAAGTGGTGTCGCTGCCTAGGTGCCTAGGATGTGTTCACTTATAGTATTTGTTGATATGTTTCTATATTTGCTTCTGGAGAGTTTTTGTTTCAAACACCTTCTGGGCGAAGTCTTTCTTCAGATCAGTGACAAATCCCCTGGTGTCAATGGACAAACGATGTAGAGGGAGAGGCGAGGGAAACGTCAAGAAGGGTCAAGAACCATGGATGTTTGTGTAAATTTATACCGACTCCCGAATACGTACCAAATTAAGCTTTGCTGTGCTACATCACGTGTCCATGACCTTGTACATCCACTTGGTTTTGCTTTATCATTGTACATATTTATAGATTATATGCCACACACCGCCGGCATCCTCTCGTTCTGTCCCTCTCTTTCTCTCTCGTTCTGACTCTCAGGTGGCAGCCTGCCTGTTGAATGCTGGAGCAAAGCACGATGCGTCTCGTGACAACCAAGGGACACTCGGCACAAGGACATCCCTAGGGCTCCAGTCGTACCAGGTGTTTGGGGTGGATGCCAAGAGGGTCCAGATACCTTCTGAGGAGGTACTTGGAACACTTGGGAATAAAAAGGACAAGATGTAGACCTTGACATCACTTGTGGGAGCCAATTTTCTTTCAAGAGACCCAGCTTGTTTGAGTCACGCGTGCTTGGCAATTTTTCCTGAGGCCTTGGCTCCCTTCAACATATTCCAAGAGACCTATTATGTTGTTTTGATGTGTCTTTTCTGTCCAAGAACTGGACATCCCCAAACAAGAAGAGTGGGGCACTGTTGACGGACCGAAGTTGTGATCCACAAGTTAGACATATTGACTTATAGGAACAAACATTGAACCATCCCCCTCTCCATCAAGAGAAAGACAAAGCACCATCTTTGAAACCTTCTGACATTTCAACCATCTCATCCATACCCAAACGCTCCGTTCACAGCCCGACTGGTCCCTCAAACCCAAGGGATTTGAGACAGACACGGTCCGACCCCTCCGGATGCTTCGGGTCGGGGTCCGACTCCCTCCATATCCCACAACGGACGAGTCCGAGGAACTCGTTGATCGGCATCGCAGCGCTCTTTGGCAATTATGAAGTGACTCGTCAAGATGACCGGTCTTTCGGAGCGTCGACGTATAGAAGTCAGACCACCATAGCCATATATGGTACGTTAACGATGGTCCGACTCGGATTTATCGGAGCTTCGGAGGTGTCGGAGCCGGGTCCTTCCCTTGTAGGTTGGACCTTTTTGGAGGGACCCACATACTCTCTGAGAAGGTACGACTGGAACCTGATGGCACCTACATCACACTGTCTCCAATCACCGTACCTGAGAAGGTACCACTGGATCCCGAGGGTATGAAGGACGATGAAGGACCTGAGGGTCGCGGGCAGAAGGTAACCGTGGATCAAGGATGACGAGTGTTCCGAGCGTTCGAACACTCCCCCCAAAGCTGGGCGCTGAGCTGGGCGCTGGGACTGGTGGCGCCCTGGCTGAGTGTTGGGCTTGTGGTTGATGTGTTATTTTCCCGGTTCCGGAATGAGGTCAAGGTGAGGTCAAGGTTTCGGTCAATGACCTTGAGGTAAGGTGGCCCCCCAACGACACGTTGCTTCTTCCACGTTTTTCCGTTGCAGCAGGCGAAGCCGCTGTCCGTGTTTTACCCGACGCGACACCTTTTCCGGGGCGTTCCACACTGGACGACGGACCGTTGACAGGTGATCCCCGTCTTGGCTGACATGGGCATGGACATTCACAGGGCCAACCTGAGAGGGGATTCTCCGATGATTTGTGCTTCTTGGATCTGAAGATTAATTCAGGAAGGAAGAACCTGGTCCTGGTGGTGATATGAGGTATGAGATATTACATGTTCAATCTTGGGATTATTGGGCTTTGTTTTGTAATTGGGTTGAAAGGGTTTGAGGATGCGGATTGAAGACGCAGCTGAACGCTCAACTCTTGTTCCTTCTTTTATTCACAAGTACCAAGCAGAAGCAGCTTGAAAAAAGGCGTGGTTACATCACGGACACTGCACAACCTCCAATTTAAAGTAGAGCGCTATGAGCAGAATTGGATCAACACCTTTTCGGTGAGCTTTGGTAGAAATATGATGAAATATGTGTTTGTTTTGTTTTTGCCAAACCGTGTTCGATCCCACCACCAAACACAGACGAAGAAGAAACGACATTGGAACATCCAGGATCTCTGGATCATCCAGTCACCAGATAAAACAGGATACATGGTGGGATCAAGTTTGCACCGTATACGTACAGGCATACCACAGGCATATTGATACAGACCGTGGTAGAACTATATTCTAATGGTTTATATATTATGTGGTTTTATAATTGATTCAACTATTCTTGAACCCAGGACCCATAGAACGACCCTTTTTCTTTGGATCCACGGGTATTTTGTAGAGTTTGTATCTGGCATCTCTGGGAAGTAGTGGCACCTCATTGGAATGCCTGGGTTGCAGGAGAGCGGTTTTCCAAGACCTTCCCCCCAAGCCCCAAGCATCAACATCCCCCACCTACAAAGATCCTATGAGTTATTGGTCCCGACCTCGCACCGAAAACCCGCACCTCGCACTCAGGCGGTCTTAACCCAAAATCCGCAAGTGGTGAAGACGCTGGCGGATCTGCGGGCTGATCCCAACCAGAGACTTGGCAGATCTTTTTGGATTTCAACCGATCCTTGGTTTCCCCACCAAAGATCAACAGGTGGACACTTTGGTGAAACCGTTCGGTCCGGGGCCTTCAAGCAACTACTTTGTGGTGGTTCATGGTCAACCTTTAAATGCCTGCACCAAGTCCCCATGTCCCCCATGACTGCCTTGATTGGCAGTCATTTTGAACAACATGTTGACTTGTGCTGATGGATACTAAAAATATGTCCAAATATCTCCTAATTATGAGCATCAGCTAGATAAGGGGGTGCACGGAAGTGGCCTAGGCCTAGAAGCGAAGACCCTTACAGAGATGTGAGAGACACTATAGGATGATGATTCTTGATTGGGTGGAAAAAGAATCGACCTCCACTTCTTTTGAGTCATGTAATGTACAATATTAGTTTCATTAAGTTTCTGCGTGTACATCATCCACATTCACAGTCCTACCATGCTTATACCAATGCGACTCCACATGCGATCAGTGGACTCCACATCGCGCTTTTCCATCGCATCAGCAAAGGGACCCCTCCATTCAGGGGTGATTCATCATCCATTCGTCACTCTGCCGCGACAGGAAGAGTACCTTGGGTCAAAGTCCTTTGAGCATCAGCGTCTTACAAGGCTGGTCCGTCCATGGCGGAAAAGAGGTCGGGTGAGCTAGGGTGTGTTGAACACCGCCTTTAGCAAGCAAATGCTTGTTTCTAGTGGCTTTTGTTTGTGTTTATTTCCCATATAGGGTTCATGATCTGGTTGGTGTTGGGTGTTTGCTTCGAAAGCTGCACTGAAAGCTACTCATGCCATCATTGGATGTAATAATTTCACAACCAATGTTCATCATGCAACAACAGGAGCATCCCCATTGCAGCAGACCCCGTTTTTGCCTCCCTCACCAGCCACGAGGCGATTTTGCAAAAAAAACTATGAATCTTCGTATCCCCCGTTGATCTCTGTTGCTATTTGTGTTCGCTTGCAAACTGAAAGGGTTTCAAGCGTTTTTCAGACCAAACCAGGTTCCAGAGATCAACCACAGCTAGCAGGGGTACGAAGTCCATGCCCGGTCCTGTGGCGGAGGCCTGGAACGGCATGCGGCCTATTTGCTGGAGGCTCAGGCAGATCCCAACGTCCAGCCCAGCACCTGGGCGGCCACCGACCGCAGCGCGCAGGCCGGGGACGTTCGCTTTCGCCACATTTTGTGTGCGTTTGACGGTGCACACGGGAAGCACCATGGGTCATGGTACCCCGGAACCCTGCTTCTCCGAATCCAGATCGCAAATTGGGCATCAGTGTCCCAATGCACTAGCAGTTAGCATCGTAGCACCAGCAACCAAACAAACCTCAATGATGCCGTCCCAAACTTCAACATCGGAGACCTCCGGGCCTTGGGTCGGGGGCTAGCCAAACCTCTTAGCCCTGCTAGTGACAGTGCTTTTACTGCCCAACCTCTTCGCAGGGGTCGGACCCTACAACTTCAAGCAAACCCGATGTATTTGCGGGCCCAGATTCTTAGGGTACTTGCTTCTGTTTTCCCGAATGCGTAGCGAAGGGTTCTCGTTTAACTCTGGGGGTCTAGGGGTAGAGCCTTGTTCGCGACGTGTTGTTTCTGCGTCCGCAACCGTTCACAATAGCTGACTACACTCAAGGAACCTACACTCAAGCGCGCGTGCAACCTCCACTCAAGCGGCAAAGGGCTCGCCGGAATCAGTCGGCACATATCTATAGCTGGCGTAAGTCAAGTGACGTGTGCCAAGCTTTACAACAAATGAGCCTTAACCATGCAGGATTGATCATTGACATCAACGAGCTGATTTGTGCTGAGTCTTTGTCGCAGAGGTTCCACTTCTAAGCCAAATTGGCGGCGCGCCTCCCCAATCTCCATGTTGTTGTACATCCATTCGAAGCTGTTCTGCTTGCAGCATCAACATGCATCCGACATGGCTCATCGCTTATCAGAGATGAGCTTCATCATCGATGACTCCCACTCAGCAGGACACACCGGAGCGTATTGCAAGGAGCACTGCCTGCCATCCTTGGAAGTGAATAGTGCTTTGTTGGGCACCTTCCCAACAAGCATTGCTGAAAGCGTGAACTCGCAATTTAGCCTGTTAGGCCACACAGTGCGCCACATGAACAAGTTCTTCGCCCAGCTATTCATCCACGAGCGCGCAAGAACATAACACGTCAAAGCTCCTGCACCTGCGGGACAAAAAACGGGCCAGCGCAAAGAAGTGCAGAAACGGACAGGTCGGTTGATGAGTTTCACAACAGACTAGTTTTTGCATATTTTCGCTGTCCGTAACCCTGCAAAATGTCAGCTTGCAAGGCGGCTGAGTGTTGTACGTTGTGCCTATTGCATGTATTCCCCACGGTCCTGGAGACAGTTTATAGTTACTGCTCAAGCTACCAACAATGTGTAACCAAAGGTGGTTTTGGATGGCCATTCCGTTTCCTTAAAAAGGTTTAGTTATTCTGGGGCTACGGTCATGCTCAGAAGTACTATTGCAGGACAAAATTTAAACTGCCGCTCAGGAAACACACACTGCGGTGCGGGGATACTACTCACCATCAACTGGAACCATCCCAGAATATCTATTTAAGGGTGCGGTGATCTGCAGATCTTCCACGCTTTCTCCCACATACAACCCTCACCCGCGCGACCTAAAACACGCGCCGACTCACCTCCAGCCACCAGCCACCTCTGGCCATCCGGCCACATCCGGCCATCCGGAAAAATGGCCATCCGGCCACTTCCGGCCGGCCACCTGCCACATCCGGCCATCCGGCCACGTCCGGCCACCGGCCACATCCCACCGATGACCGGCCACCCGTGGCCACCGGCCAGGCCAGCCGGCCACCCACAAAAAAGTCTATCCCCCAACCGTTCGGCGCCGTTCGCAGTAGGGCGCTAAGGCGCTGCCTTTGGGGGAAGCTTTTGGAGAGGGTTTCGGATGAAAACGTGACGTGTCAGATGCGTGTGAAATAGCATGGAAACGTGTGGAAATGTAAGATGTTGAAGTATATGGAGGTTGAGTTCACTGCGCAGGCACAGCGTTTTGTGAGATCCGCAGTTTTCAGCGCAGTTCCATTGGGATTAGCGTTTCGTGTTTTTTGGAGTGTTGGATGTGGCCGTGCCATTAGGATTTGCGGTGCGGTGCAAGTTTTGTTGAAGCTCACATGACACATGATATTGTCACTTTTCGTGGCAGGCGCAGTACTTTGCGCGGTTTTTGAAGTGCGGAAGTGCGAATTTCGTGGCAGGCGCAGGGAATCGTGAGGTTGCGAGGGGTGACGAAGGTGACATTTCATGGCAGGCGCACTTTGCGCGCGTTAGACATGGGGACGCGGAAAGATTCGTGGCAGGCGTAGGGAATCGTGAGGTTGTGAGTTGCGGTAGAGGAATATTGTCGGGATTGGCGTGTGAGCGGGTGTTGTTTGGAGGGGCTGGAATCGCGAAACTGCTTGGCAGAGCCGCGTGATGTGTGTGCTCCGATGGGTGCTTCCGCTTGACTTTTGGAGGAAGTCTTGTACGAAACGCTCGCTTTGCAGACTTTGACATGTGAGGAAGTCTCGTGCGAAACGCTTGTTTTGGAGACTTGACGTGTGACTGTTGGAGGAAGTCTCGTACGAAACGCTCGTTTTGGAGACTGTACGCATGACTTTTGGAGGAAGTCTCGTACGAAACGCTTGTAGTGCGTGGGCAGATCGTGTCGACACGACGTTCGTGATGTCGCAGTGCCATTGGGATTTGCGCGGCCGGCGCCATGCCACTGGGGAGCCCGTGGGCAGACGGTGTGGCGAAATTACGTTCGTGATGTCGCAGTGCCATTGGGATTTGCGCGGCCTTGGTGGGAAGTGTGTTTGCGTGGCGCCGTGCTACAGGGGAGCGCGAAACATGCTGGTGTAAAGTGTAAATATGGCGTGTCGGAGGTGAGCGGGATGATTGGTGGTATCAAGAATGTTCTACAAGAGTGCCCCGCAAGAGCTTCCTGCAAGAGTGACCCACAAGAGTGTCCTACAAGAGTGTCCCACAAGAGTGTCCTACAAGAGTGTCCCACAAGAGTGTCCCACAAGAGTGTCCTATAAGAGTGTTCCACAAGAGTTTCCTACAAGAGCGACCCACAAGAGTGTCCCACAAGAGTGTCCCACAAGAGTGTCCTACAAGAGTGTCCCACAAGAGTGTCCCGCAAGAGTTTCCTACAAGAGTGTCCCACAAGAGTGTCCCACAAGAGTGTCCCACAAGAGTGTCCCACAAGAGGGTCCCGTAAGAGTGTCCCACAACAGCTTCCTACAAGAGTGACCCACAAGAGTGTCCTACAAGAGTGTGATTTGGACATATGTAGCTTGTCGAACGTGTTTGCATTCGGGTTCGTTGGCTCCATCTTGTTTTTTCAGCTGCAAATTCAGGGCTGCCATTGCTGCTCTCTACTCGGTAACTGGATGGTCATCTCCTTGGAAAAACAGATGTTCCGAAACTTTGCCAGGTGCGGCGGCTGGAGACGCTCTCGGATTTCACCATTCGCACCATTGACTCCTCGCGGAAGAGCTCAAGGAACTCCACGAACCAAATAAGGACACTCCAACCATCAATAGGCTTTAGAGGTGAGAGATATGCTAACAGCGAACGCAGCTCGACCGGCGAACGCGGTCCAGCTGCGCTCCATGTCGACCGGGCCTGCGATCTGGTGCAAGAGACATCTGGCATCCTCTGGTGCCATCCTACCCGGGTTTTTCTCAGTACGGGGCCGTCTGGCTGTCCGGCCGTGTTGCGCCATCCACTTCCATGATCTTCCATGATAGTCAGAGTGTAACTCTTCCATCCAAAGTGTAACTCTTCCATCCATGGATTTCAACACCAGAGCCCGGTGTCGTCCATCTTCCGGTTCCGGTTCGGAAACGCTTTCACGTTTGGCGGTTCCGCCAGGAGTGTGCTCTCTGTTCTCTCGGGTGGGACACCCTTGCAGGTGGCCGCAATGATGCTCAGAGTGGGACTCGTGGGACGCCCTGGGACGCCCTGGGACGCGTGGCACTCCCTGAAATGAAGTGGAACAAAAATATGTTTGTAGATGTTTCTATACCAGCAGCTTCCAACAGGTCTCCTTTGGAGGGTTGTTAGGCCCTAACAGGTTTCAATTGGTGACCTGTTGGAGGTGCTGGTAGATTGTAGATGAACATTGTATAAACTATAGTTAGTTCATTTCGGGACCATTTTCCACTCATGATTATCATGATGATTCCAGGGGGTGGGACCATCAATTTATAGTGAGTGTACGGTGGAGCAATGCTCCCGAAGGCGAAACCAACCACCCCTCGCCCCCTATTTGGAATCCACTGAGGCTGGCAACACTAAAGGATCCCCCCAAAAAAACAGCCCGCTGGGCCCAGGGAACCAGAGGTTCCAGTCAGAGGAACTAGAGCTCGAGAACCCCTAATTTCTCAAAGTGATAAACTAAAACAATCTAAAACATCATTGACCAGACCCCAAGGTCGCGTGGTGTCAAAAAACATCCTTCATCATGACTCCAATGATCATACTCTCTCTTTCCAGCTCTGTGCTTTAGGGTTGCTTTTACCCGTCTTTTCAACCATGCCCATGCATTTAGATAAGACAAGTCCATCAGGGTTCTACTTGCTTTGGCACTTGCAAGTACTTCCTCAGAAGCTACTTAGCACGTACCCGAGCCACGCACCCGAGCCACGCACCCTCGTGGGGTGCGCCGAGACGACGAGTTCGACGGACCCGAGAGGCGGAAACAGAACGGCAAAACCACGGGCGTCCTACATCGCCACATCCACAGGTTTGTGATAGTTAAACGATGTAAAAACAAATAGCATGTATATACACGAAAACATATCAAAAACATGTCCTCAATTTAACAATTCTCCTTTTTTAAGGGCTCAAATGTGGGTCAATATTGCACTCTCATGGATTGTTTGGGCCATATTGCAAGCATGTTCGTTTCTAGTGGGTGCGTGTTCACAGGAAGCTCCTTCTCAACAGCCTTATAGATTATCTCTCAGTCAGCACCCTGCGCCTGGGCGGTACAGAGAGCCTCCCACTCACGCTCCGAGATGGGATTTTGAAGGCGGGAGTTCTCTTCTCGTCCACCGAACATGTCCCAAACACGACCCACATGGGACTGGAATATTTACCATTGACCTCTGGAAATCAACCAATCCAGTGTGCATATGCCCCACGCGACTGGAATATGTACGAACTTGAACCTCCTGAACTTCAACCACTTCAGAGTGTGCCTAGCACTGGAAAATGGGTGGTAGGGTAGGGTAGTCTATTGGACACCCAGACAGGATGATCTTGGTATGTAAGTGAGCCGCTCTAAAAACCTGCCTTTACATCTTAAGTAAGGACCTTGTCATATCGAATTCCGCGTAAGCAATACCCTGGGTTGCGTAAGATTGCGTAAGCATTTCGCGTAAGCATTTCGGAAGTTTGCTCTGCGTAAGCAAAAGTGAGGGCCGCGTAAGCAGCGCGTAAGGCCTCGCGCAAGGAAAGTGATACTCCAGGTTTTTAGAGTGGCTCAAGTGGACATATTAACCCTAGGGCTCCAACCATCTCCTCAGGTTCGGTGGTTAGAGCCCCCTGGCACCCACCCCAACCACCGAACCTCAGGAGGTGGGCCAGGAGCCCTAGGGAGATTAAAAGTCTGCGAGTCCCATGGGCCGTGCGGCCGGGTGTGGCTCGTAGCTGAGCGTCGCTGACCCGTCCGAACTCCAGCCGCCCCATGGCATCTCGCAGTGCCCTCGGGTGGGCAGCGGCTGTGGGAGCCGTCACAGCACCAAGGAATGGAAATTGGCCATTGGTGCAACTCTTGCTCAGGCAGGTACGACAAAAAGCCATGTCTTGGTCTTTGCCCTCAGACTCCTAGAGGAATTGGCTGAATTCCACGGATTGGATCTTCTAAATGATGGATCTGGTCGCAAAGCTCTTTTGTGATACGCGCGAATTGTTTCTTTGTCACTGCTCATGTTGGGTCATTACAGCCCCCCAGAACCCTGGGCTCAAGTGCCAAAGACATGTCTTTTGCAAGGCCTTCAGAATATGAATCACCATTTGGGATTGGAGCCAAGAGTCATGACGAGGGGTTTAGTTCTATACTGAGCTCTAAGGCCACGTTTTCAGGACGATCAATTCTGCTGAAACGCGATACGAGAAACCACGAGAAACCAGAGCCCAGATCACCCGTCAGTATATAGTCGAGTACTGTTCATGAATGCTGTAGGGAGGTGGACGCGAACCTGTTCTGTGGAAGACAAACGAAATAGCATATCCACACAGACTGACTAGGACCCACAAACTGCTTAAGAAGCACGTGGGCAACGGATGTTGGATTTGTCTTGCTGGAGCATGTACACATTGGTTAATGGCATTAATGGTGATTAAATGTGATTAATAAATATTAGACATGATATGTGATATTAGATTTTTTTTTATTGATTATTATTAATGTTATTGGTTTGGCACACTCATCACATGCAACGACCGCCCACAGGTTTGACCATAACAAATTTTAAATACATACAAATATATACACATTGTTTATTGCTATTCTATTGAATGTGTTTTTTAATCAACAACGTCATCATCATGAAGCGCAATCATCGTCAGCAATATCAAGATTAAAGATCAGACACGTGGCTGCTTTATTCCAGCTTGATTTCCATACATTGAATCGCTTGAGTTGCCATCATCCCACATGAATTTGATGCGGCGTAGGTGGAAGGCGGATCCTTCCAAAACCACACCCAGCGTCCAGTCCACCGCTTTGGAACTGGCGGAGGACGGACCCTGGGGGCAGAGGGCATGGAACAAGGGGCGGAGGGCCCATTCCCAGCTCAAGCGGATCGTTGGATTTAGGGTAAACATGAAGCCAACCAAGGACTTGCAGTCTCACAAGGAAGACACCTATCATGAGGATATGTTAGAATCCCCGGAGGCTTCTTTGGTGCAGGCGTGCTTGGGAGACGGTTCTCTTCAGCTCTTGCCGGTATTATTTCTTCTTGACCCCACCGGGGACATTCACCTGGTCACGTCCGGTCACCGGTCCACGTCTTCGCACGACCGCGCGACACGTTCGCATGTCGCTCGCTCAACCCACCGGCCCAAACCGTCCGCGACGGGTCGACACACAGCGCGACGGATGCGCGTGAAAACCGTCCTGGGGCCAAACCACTCGCTCGAACGCGATGAACCACGGACGAAGCACAGACCACGGACGGACGTGCCCGCCCAAGGCCGGGTTGCTGGGTCGCTGGGTTCCGAGGTTTGAACGACCAACGACCTCCAAAGACTCACAGTTTGGGGGGCCACTCGGTGGTTGGTGAGAGAGCTGGCTCAGTCACGTCTCAGGACTATGGGCACAGTGACCTCTTAATGAGGCTTACTGGTGCCATTGCCTCAGTCGACTATTTTTACACTTGAGGCGACCGCCGTGCTGTGTCGCCCGCGCGCAACCGCGGAAACTGCGGACACTGCCACACATCGATGAAGGAAATGGGGAGGGCTTCGGCATGCGAGGAACTCCTGGCCTTGCCCAGCCTGGTGAGTAAGCCGAGTTCCCAAAAGTGGGTTCCGAAGAACATCCCAAGCTCCGAGTTCTTGAATCACATGCTTGTTCACCACCCAGTTTGGAGATGAGCACCGGCTACGCATCCGAACTGAGTGTTTATATACATGTCTTTACTATTCAAGACCCATCCGAACTGGCTGGTGCTGGTGAATCTCTTGATTGACTAGAGATCTTTGGAGAGTGACCGGTGTTGACCGATGTCGAGCGGTGTTGATCCTTTTTTAGTGAAAAACATCAGTCCCCCGAAAAGAAACGGGTTTTCCGAAGGCCTGCACCCCTCCTCATTTTGACCCACAGGCTGTACTCTTTCGATTCAACATGTCATTTAGTGTGTGCACTGTGATATTGAAGTAGCACGAACCCCCAGACACCCAGCAGGAGGAAAAAACAACGAGCACCCTCCGTTTTGCCAGGATAGTCCAACCATTTGAGTATAGCCAATGTCTAAGTCTAAGTCAACTCTATTTGCTAGGTCAATGTTCTGTGGTTTGAGTTTCGGTCAGTGAAACACGCCGCAAGAAACTCTCTTCATACACTCTTTGTTGAGCATCAAGTGGTATGGCGTGTGTATACAAAGAGAGACAATATATATATATACACTGTATATACAACATGTGTCAACTAACCTGAAATTCGTAGCTGAAGATTTCCTGCTGTAGGCTTTAGGAGAGTGCAAATGCATATCTTTCCTGTATGTGGTGGATGTTTCTTGTCCATGGTTGATTCGGTTTGGTTTCCTTTGGGACCGATCTGACCAAAAATCACTCCAGATAGAACTGCTTTAAGACATGACGAGAGTATAAGAGGACACCTGCCTCGCCGCAAGGAAAGATAATTGTGCTTTTGAGGGGAAGTTCTTGGCAATACCTAGAAGATCCTTTGGGCAGAAATTCTTGCCTTTTTCGGGAAGAGCGGCTCTTCCCGTCCTGGGGCGGAAATCAGCTGTTTGCCGCGGAAATATTTTTGTTGCCGCGAATATTCCCTTTCAGGAATCCAGTGAGACAAAGACTACATATTCTAGAGGAGTTGAATATGTTTGTGGTTTACATTGGGCATTTCTGCCTGGAACGGTCACCGCAATGAGAAAAACCAATTTGCAGCGCTTAAGTTCCCACCTCCACCTGCAAATCTGGCTACCATCATATCATATATTATGTGTCTTTGTTTTTGAAGGTTTCTTGTGCGGAATGACCACAAAAGGACTAAAATCAGTCCAAAGTTGAAAACACCTGGCGCGAAAATGCCCGGGAAAAAGGCAGAAATACCCGGGAAAGAGGCGGAAATACCCGGGAAAACGGCGGAAATACCCGGGAAACCGGCGGAAATTTCCTGGTAGAAGGCGGGATTCAAGAACAGTGCCTTTGATGCCTTTGAAGGGCTTGAACATATGTCGCAGCCTCTTTGTGAATGTCATGAATTTAGAAGTGTCAAAATCGTAGGGTGTCAGATCTTGAGATGTGAAGCTATGCAGAACGATATGTGGTCTGCAATCATGGAAGAGACAACCTGGTAGGTTGTAAGTTGTAATGGTTTTGAGTTGCTATGTTGGATTTTGCTTGAGGCAAAAATTCCCTGCTGCCCGCGGAAATTCCTACCTGGCGCGGATTTCCCCTAAATCCGCGAATCTTCCCGGGCAAATCGGACTGAGGCAGAAATTTCTGCCCCAGGTGCTTCTAGGTATGCGTGACAATGCGTGACATATTTGATGTTCTCCTGGGTTCCAGTTGTATCGATACATCCCCGTCAGGACTCGGGGCTGGTCAAACACAGTCTTGAGGATTCGACCAACTCTAATGTGTCAAAATCTGTCATCTGTCCCTGTTTTTGTAAAGCCTGGTTTGAGCTTTTCCCCACCATCCCCAATAGGTTCCGAAGAAACATCCAAGAACCATCGCGTGTGTCCCATCCCACTCGACGTCGACAGCTTTTCGACGCGAACCTCCGCCGTGCGACCCGCCGTGACCGGCGTTCCGGAGCAGAGCTACATTGACACAATGGTACTGGTGTTTTTTTTACCGACACTGGGGTGGTTGAAACGGAGGTTATGTATAGCTATAGTATGCTATAGTATTATATTATATATATATATTATGTATATGTGATATTAATATTACATAATATATGGTCATTTATGGGATTTGGGTACGGAGTTCTTGACACATAGCGGGTCATGGACATCTTGCGCTTTGCTGTGACACTCTGTGCTCAGGCGTTGAGGGAGCCCACTCTGGCCGGATTTGCAGCCCAAAAATTGAGCTGGCCCAGTCATTTGTTCAACTGGCTTAAGGGCTAATAAGACCCAGCAATTGTGGCTATTGTGTTGTGTTTGTTGTTGTTGTTGTTGTTGCTGCTGCTGCTGTTTTTGCTTTGCTGTTATTCTAGTCCTTTATTAGTCTGTACTGTATATTTGACATGTCTCCAGTATCTCAGGCCAACCACCAGACACTGAGGGTGTCCATCAGCCGGAAGTGTATCAGACTGGACCCACTTACTGGGCGGCACACTCAGACCTTAATTTGAAAGCTTGGGAATATGGTCTGTGCTGCTTTCGTTTGATGTCTCCTCACTTTGGGATCGGATAGGATATACTATGATATACGTTATGATTCACGATATACTGTACTATCTATAACCAAACATTCCTTTTGCAGCTGTGTTTATCCCTTTGATTTGCATGTTTTTGTTCCTGCACAAAAAGAAGAAAACACAAACATGTGTTCGACCGCGTGGCAGGTATTACAATGTCAATGGTGACCCCCAATCTCGTAGATGACCAGTGCTTAGTACTTTCAGGAGATGGGAATTGCTCACCAGTGGATCCCGGTTTGGGTTTGGAGGACTCCAAACACCTGAGGCGGTGGCAGATTGGTAGTTGGTGCTCAGGTCTGAGACATGTAATAATACGTATAGTTGGTGTTGTTTTGATAATTTGATGATCCAAAACCAATGAGGCCAGTCAATTTCAAAAAGTCTTCCAATGATCTCGGTAGCTTTCTTCTAGACGCTCATCAGGGCCAGACTTCCTGCAAGTAAAGAGGCAATGATCATGCAATCACAATGAATTTGATGGGTGCATGTCCTGGGGAAAGTTGGGTGCCAACACGTCCAGGGTACAGCTTATTCGAGGGTGTGGGCCCGTAGTTTTGCGTCGATTTTTACACGATTGCTTGGGCTGTCCGTCAGCTTATTGTATGTTGGACTTTATTTAAGCATTTGTGCAAATACATGCAGATAATTGATGAAGTTTGCGATGTTCACTTCATTTCGTGCCTGAGTTTCTGGTATTTTTGTGGCGGACAACATTCGACTCCCTTTTCTCCTTTTTTCATATGTGTACAGCTTTTATGTAGATGAAGGCTTGGAAGGAGTGACACATACTATACCGTTTAATCTAAGGATATCGTCCAGTAGATGAAGGCTTGGAAGGAGTGACAAATACCGTTTAAATTGATGATATCGTCCAGTTTTTGTTGGAACTCTACAGCTTTTCAATGGACTGAGACGCGGTTGATTGCCTTCCTGGGTGCCCCTTCCTGTTGTCTCCTCTTAACTTGCAAATACTTGCAAAACCACTGATCGACATTCATGCAAACAGAAACTATACCTGACTGTTTTTTGTACAGGTTTGGTACCTCAAACATGGATTCTTTGATGTCGAACACAGGGGGCTTGCTCCAATCATGTTTGAGCCTTCAGTAACGACCTTTTTCGCGGCGTTTTTCAGCAACGACTGTTGTGGTGCAGCACGTCGTGATGTTTCTCTTGGCCAACGGCCGTCGTACAGCTGCATGCGAAGTCTTTCCCGGGCATCCCAAGTTCCTGTCACTGCAACTTATAACAGTATATAAACAAGTACCTACCCGCCATGTTGTGGAACAATCATGGAAGCATGCGGAATTGGTGGGAAGGCATTACAAAGATGACTACCCAACCCAACTGTGTAAAACGAGAGCTACTATATTACTATTATAATACTGTTACTATAACTGATACTGAGTGATCTTGCTGTTCATGCATTTGCTGAGAAAAAAATGTGTGCAGTGCAGCAGCAATGTTTATTGTATTCTGCGGGGCGCAGACTTGCTTCTTGGGTCAATCTTCAAATCTTTCTTATACCGCTACCGCTACCTGCTAGGGGGGGAGCCAAGCGATCTTCACTGTGATGTCAGCATTGTTAATTGAGGCGGACGAAGCGCTGATGTGTGATTTTGTTTGGGATATCCAGGAAAGAACTTCCTGCTAGCTGAGCTCTGAGGAGACAATGGACTCAAGATGAATCGAGGAAAGTTCAGGATTCCCTTGACAGACCATGACATGACCTTCTATCAAACTTGCAGCTCTTGCACAGGACAATGAAAACGATCGCAACATTGCCCACAGATTTCGTTCTTTTGCTTGAATTCGGACATGTCCAGAGCACAGCTCGCACCAGAAAGGAATACACTGTGACGGGCCGGGCACTTGGCTGCCAGGCCCTTAAGCGACCGCGGACGGCGCCGCGACGCGGAACGTCCTTCCGTGGCCGCCTACAGACCCATCGTCTTCGGAACCAAAAGGAGCGCTCCAAGCTCGGCGGATCTTGGCGAAGAGTTTGTTCATGTTTGTTTTGAGGATTGCTCCCCAAAAAAATCAAAAGACGGGGGGAACAACAACAGTTGCGGTCTTTCAACAAGATGTGGTTCGTTTGCACAGACTAGAAACTTCACAAGGATTTGGTTGCTCGTAGATGTTCTTTTGTTGACCAGTGGTTTAAAACAGAGGGATGGAGCCACAGTACCAGAGGGATGGCCACAGGGGCCATGTGAAGTTCCACCGGTCCGCCGTTGTGTTTGATTTTTTTCACCCCAGCTCTGGTCATTCTTCGGTGAGAAGGCATGTCCGAGGACGAACAAGGCACCGTTGATTTGCCAAACAACCATATTGCTTTGCTAAAATATGCCAAAAAAAATCTACTATGTGTTATATACTATTTGAATCGTCGAAACCAGACCAGGTCAACCTTTGTTTGGTTTGGCAAGGAACTCGTTTGGTTCTGTGAGACTGTTGGGGGGGTCATTTGGGAGACTGTCATTGTTTCTTGGCTGTTTGCCAAGAATTCCATTTGTTTAGACTCAAATGCCCAGTCATACATTGCAGGATCACGCCTCAGATTTTTTGCTTATTTTCGACTCCTTGCTTTTTTGTTACTCTGTATAGTGAAAGCAACAGAATGCAATGACGAGGCCAATGAATGGTGCTCTCAACTTGTGTAGCTATATTGCTTGACTCAGTTGTTTTGGTATGTTTTCGGTTTGTTTCTGCAAGACTGATTTCTCCAAGAGGTAGCAGGTAGCCTGTCGAAGGTTCCCGGTATGTTTTGAGTTAATTCGTCAGCAGCTCACACTAATATTGGTTCCTTTCCCTGTAGAGTCCCACTATTTGCCATAAGGCAGGTCCATTGATTTATAGATAGCTATATAAGTTAGGTGATTGTGCTTTTGGGAGATTTCCTGTCAGCCTGAGCCAGGCCAAGGTTTCATCAACTTTTCAGTGCTCAAGACCCTATGATCACATCACTATGCGGAAGATTCTTTGGACAAAGAGCCGGACTTTTCTTTCCAAGTGAAAAGCGTGTTTCCATTGAAGCCCTGAATGCCTGAATGTTTCACCAATATCTAATCCTCTTCGAAGGCCTTGGGCTATCAGCCTGCTGGAAATCGTCCGAACAAATGATCCAATCATATACACTCTTCTTGGACATATTATGTCTGAATCTGAACCAATGTATGGCCTGCCAGCAGTAGAATGGCTTTTCCTCAGGAAAACTGGCCAGTTTCGGGTTTGTCTGTGGGAGATATTCATTAGACTTTTTTGGAGCAGAGACAATTCTTTCACCATCAATTGGACACCTCCGGAGGCTACCACCTAAGTATTCTCCGTCGCGCAACCCGGTCTCAGGCTGATGTTGCCGAGGACGGAACGAAGATGATCGATCCTGATCAGGTCATGTGGATCCGGACGTCAGTGGACAATAACCTTTATTGACCTGCAAAACCTGAACTGGGGGGATTGGTGAAACCCGCGATCCACAGGTTTCACCGGTTTGTTGCCAGGTGCCCCGCACACGGCACGTGTGTCCCATGTTTCCCTGGAGTCAAACATGTCAGCCTGACGACTAACCTAACTATCATCATTCACTGAGAAAAGGACGAGAATGGGATACACCCAAGATGAAACTTTTGGGTGGTGGTTTCAGATATTTTTATGTTCAACCTTTACTTGGGCATTTTGTCACCGTTGGATCGAACCTCATGGCCATGGCCGGAGACGGACAAACCTTCGGCAGGTGGATCTCATGGACGGCAGGAGAGGTCAAAGCTTCGGAGGTTCCAACCTCGATCCACTGAGAATTCACAGGAGTTCCTTCAGAAAGTTTATTTCATTTCGGGTGCGCCGAGAGCGAGTGAGTCGCTTGTGGCTCTTAGTTCCGAAGAGAAAAAGCAAGACTGTAACGCCATAACGGAAAAAATCCCTACACGCGGAGTTCCAAGTCCTGAGCGGAACGCATGGAACAGAAGGAGGTGAACGAATGTAGATCCAGATCCCAGGATATGGGTTCCTCAGTGTCCCGGGACGGCGGGACGGACTCGGAACATCCGGGCTCAAGAGGCTTTTGTCAAAGCCTGTTGGGAGAGAGTGGCCGAAGTGAAGTTCCCCTGAAAGAGGGAGTGAATCTTCTTGGTGAGACATGTGTTTTGCCTTTTTTTGCTGAGCAAACATAGATCACTCGGACAGAATCGGCAATAACAGACATCAGGCGGCAGAACCATGTTGTAGGTGCCACCACCTCTTTGGTTTGTTTAGTTGATACACTTGCAAAACATTGAAGCTGGAAAGGTTGGCCCCAAAAAATGGATTCCAAACAGCAACAAGAGACTCATGGGACCCTGGAAAATGGTATGTCGAAACTACCCTCCTTTTTCCAAGGCGTTTAAGAGAATCACAGGCCTGGCTGCGGTTTCGCCCTTTCCGCCATGGGAACCAGCGCCAGCCAATCCTCATTGGAGGAAGGCACCCTCATTGGAGCTCGCAGCGAAGGGAAGGGAGGGAAAGAGGGGCGGAACTCATGGAGTCGTTGCGGAGGTCTCTCTTTTTGACACCCACAGGGAAGTGCTTGGTGGTTGCATTACGCTATGGGGTCTAGGATGCCTCCAGCCTGAGACTTTGGAGAGGTCCCTGCATTGGTGTCTTTCAACTCTCAGCTGCCCTAGGAAGTGTGACCCCAAACAGGCCAGTTCTTTGGGTTTTGTGATCCAATCCATGGTGTTTCCAGCTCTTCTGTTAGACTCCCTGGAATCAAAACCACCTATGTGTAAAGGTTGTCATTCAAGGGGCCATTGTCCACTTCCATTATGATAATGGTGGAGTGGAATTCTCGCCTCGCTGCGAACACCTCATTGGCCATGTCGTGCTGGGATGAACGTACATTCGCTTTACGCCTAATCTTCAGGAGGGAGTCCAGCAGTGATGCCCCCAGCATCAATTGGGCTTTGCAACCACTCTGGTGACTTTAGTTGTTGCCAGTGTGGCTACACAGGAACACAGGAAGTAATGCATTCAGTTGTCCTAACCTCCAAGGCTGGGGATTCCTCGGATGGGAATGGGGATTCCAGTGCACTGGAAGAAATTCCTCCAGGGAAGTGGCAAACACCTCGTTTGCAAAAGGCCGATCACCAGTGGTTCTTTTGGTACCATGTGGTAACTTGGAACAAAGCATGATGAAGAAGCACGAAGGGAGGATAAGATTATCAAAGATGTGACGTTGTTCTTCTATTAAGAAGGAAATGTTATAAAGCAATGTTGCTTTGTTTCTTATACATATATATATATGATATGGTACCGGTACCTTCTATCACGTTGCTGAATTTAAGAGCAACGACCGCAATCGTTCTAGCTTCAGGTGGCTCATTTTGCTGTGGATAGAAAACTAGATAAAACTAGCACTGCTGAACACCCAGAACATCCCAGAACAAAAGCAACACTTAGATACATCATAGTGGTTTTCTGGGCCTGATCCCTTTGATCCTGAGATGTTCTTGCACTGCTTATATGGCGCACGGCTCCTTCACATGGCGCACATGGATCTCTCCACCGCAAGGCCTTTCCACCGGAGAGGTCGAGGAGGCTGAGGCCTCGGTTGAGGCGTGGGGTCGCACATGAGATGTATCATTGCTGTATGCATTTGTATGCAACATGTTTCACTATAGAAATCTTCACATCGGTTGTACATGTCATATACCTGATCCGACTCTGCAGAAGTCTACAGAACTTCCGTGGGTGTGCAAGACACAAGTGGTTTGAAGATAAAGTTGTTCCAGCAGTCTAGTTTGCTGCGGGACTACTAGCTAAGGGGACTAAGAATCTTAGTATAGTGTAGCTTGAAACTCTGAAGCTCAGGCCATATAGAGGCCACTCCATTCTTTCGTTCCCCGCCAAAGAATTCACTGGTCCATGCCCGTTTTTGGCTGTCCATCCTGTTGTCGCATTGGGTCGCATATTGCCCCCACTTGTTTGGCAGGATGTTTGGCTGCTGCCCGTATCCATCCTGCTTGAATTTTCGCATTTCCGGTCTTACGAAGAGCCACTTGAAGACATTTACGCTTTTGCAATGCGATGAACATGACTACGGCGTGCTATGGACTAGGACGAGCAGGAAGGGCATATAAATGCTATATGATTTGTGTTTTCTGTGGCTCCCGTATGAGAGAGAGGCTTTGTATCCACTTCCAGAGTATTGCAGATGTTCGTCGTTTGCATCAACTCTTGGCAAATGTTGCTTTGAAGCCAAGACTAAAGGACACTACAACATACAGTGAGCCCTCCTCCACAACTTGAGCTCCCTACAAATATATATATATATATTATATAGTATCGTGCTTCTCTACCTAGCGTTTCACACCGGTTCGGTGTGACGGATATAGAAATTGGAGGAACTTCTGGATGGCCAGATCATGCAAAGGTGTCTGGCCATCATTTTGGCCAGCACGCAAGAAGGCGGGAGAGCAAGAAAACGAGTGAAGTCCATAGATGGTCGACAGCAGGGTGGACTGCCCAAATACAAACAGCCCCAAGCAACAGCCCGACAGCCCGGTTTCCATTGGGGTTGTTGCACATGTCATTGTGTCATTGGTGCTCGGTAATTGTATTTTCCATTATGTATATTTAGTTAAGTTTAATATGTTAATATTTAATATGTTATATTTTTTTAAAAAAATAGTGGCTCGGCATTTTCCATATAATGACTTTAATAATATGGATCTTTTTGGATCCAACATCATCCAAGTGTTATTTGCCAGGACTTTCCCTCAAGGGCGGGCCCCCTGCGCCCCCTGCTGAAACATCCAGCTTCTCCCAGACTCCCAGCCTTCGCGTCAGGTAGATGAGATCGGTCGGTCGGAGAGGTGAGCTTTTCTCGAGAACCTTCTAGAGTGTGCTCTTGGTTTAGATGGGCCGAACATCCTATATTTTTGGTCTGACTGGTGCGACTCGCAGGGAATGAGGGTGGCTGGATCCAGGGAATGAGGGTGGCTGGATCCAATAGAATCTCTATTGGGGCTCATTCCCTCATTCCCTACTAAGCACCAGTCAGTTGTCGATTTCTGGCCCCTAGGGCTCCAAATGCTCGGCGGTGAGATCCCAAATAGCCCACCCCAACTGCAAACATCTTCGAAACGGAGGTAGGCCAGCCCTAGGTCACGACCCAAGTGAGAAGACCACAGATGTTGGTGACCGAACCACACCAGAACAAAGGTCATCTCCATCGTCTTAAAAGGTCATCGACCCAGTCGACCCAGTCGACCCATCGACCCAGTCGAGGCTGACTCGGATGAATGCTTTGAAGCGGTGGACGCCTTCATGCACGGTGGCTACTTGGAACCAACCGGTCCACCAGTCCGATCCCGTCTCCGATAACACTTTTGTCTCACGGAGAGGAGAAAGGTGTTGCACAAGGTGTTGAAAGGTAGGCAGACGAGCCGGGCCTTTGCGAAGTAGAAAGGTGTTGAACACACATAGACCAGTCTACCCATTTAAAAGACAAAGGGCTCTCCCGAATTTAACTGAACACACTCACAATTCAATCACATTCATGATTCATGTACAGTGGTTTCAGAATAGCTGCCACAGACCCCATGATGTCCTCTAGATGGGGGTCCATATAAACCACCTTTTGGGGTCTGCACTATATCCATTTCCTCGGGAAAATGAGGTGTTTTTATTGATCCATCCATCCAGCTCGGTTCTAGGTTTGGCTGAGCGCCCCACGGTTCGCGGGTGGGTGGCCGACTGCAAATCCTCGAACGAGCGCAATGGATGGGAATTGAGGGTGGAGCCCCTATATAGTAGCTTCTGGTGACGTTCGTAGCGGAAGAAGGATTGGTTCTGGACATGTTGTGTTGCCTTTTGAAGGGGTGCAGCTTTCCAGGACCCTCCCCGCGAAAGATGGATGCCCCGTGGATGACCTCATCGAAAGACCCCTTTTTCTATTGGTTGTGACCCGATCTCCGGAACGTACGAAGTCACCTCCAAAAAACCATCCAAAAAGGAGAGATCCCCGCACCATCCCGCCAAGTAATTCGTTGGGTCATGCAGCGTGGTGGACCCATGTGTTTTTTTGTTTTTATGGGTCATGACTTGCCCAGCCCCAGACAGGGGTGCTTGGGTGTTTTGATATCCACTTAGACTTTTCCGAACTAGGCCGATGCCAGGAATGGCGGTCGCTGCCCACCAAGCGACGCTCGGGTTTAGTTCGCTCTTTCACACACTGCGGTCTCTCGATCTTCGCGCAGGGAGGAAATCCGGTTCGGAACCCACGGGTTCAACAAGGACAGAATATCCGCACTATAGCAAAAAAAAAGAAACATAGTGCTCGACACTTGGACAATATGCAGCTAGTGCTAGACGGAATTTGTTTAACAAACTTCAACATGGCTCAGCAAGCGAACATCACTCAGCATGCCCACTCGGGTGATCCGGACCACCTTCTGCCCGACCACCCGGGTGATCTAAGCTGCCGCTGTTGGTCGAGAACGGAGGTGATGATCTCCCACCAGTGGGCGGGTGCTGCGCATCCAGATCCCAAACTGCGACAATTCCAGGCGAGTAACCCCCAGGGGTTCAACCGACCGGGGATGGAGTGAGTGCGACCAGAGAACTCCGTAGGTGACCGGGGTCTTAGTGGAATCCCTGTAAAAGTACAAGTGACCCTTGACAGGCCTAAGTGACCTCCAACCAGCTTTGGAATCCATGTATGTTTGCGACCCGTTTACACGGGCCTATATAGAGGAGACCAAAGTTTGACAGGGGATCAAGTTTGGTCACTGGGAAGATCCAGGTGAGTGCATTGTGTTTTAAAACTGCTTTGATCGAGATAACTAACTAATTAATTAGCTGTGCTATGTTATTGTAGTATTGCTGTACTATGTTATATAACATGGGTCGAGTCACTCTAATTGGGTGAAAGACATGCTATACCTGAACCTACCATCTTCCAAACACTCCACCGTGAGGGGCATCAGAAGAACCGTGAGTCCGTGAGTCCCTCCCTGGCCGCGAGGGGTTACCCCAAACCACCCCAAGGTAGGTAAATATGTCATGTATGGATGGTTTGAGGGTCTGGGAATTATGAGTCAGTCCCTTCTCCCGACGGCTTCGACGGCTTCGTCTCGTCGGCAAGGCGAGTTCCGTGTCGACGGCGAACCCCGCCGGCAGGTCTTACAGCAGCTGTTTCGCTACCTCTCGGCCGGGCGCGTGACGATCGGCCAGGCAGAGGGGATCGAAGAAGAGGTTTCCCCGCGGGGGGCTGGAGATGGTTAAGACCTGCAGAGCAGCAAACTAATGTCACCTATATAAACCTATAATGATGTTTGGTATGGATGTGAAGGACCTTCCCAGTGACCTTTTACAGACTTAAGTGATCGAAATTAGATCGCAATGGGTCAGCAGGTCCAGAGATGGTGCTCGTTCTCATGTTCACAACCACCGAGACGCTCCAAACAGCCCTTGGTCACTCAAGACCTAGGATTTAAGACCCCGGACCCCTCCATATGAGGGTCCATGAGCGTTTGGGCAGCTTATCAGTCTCGGCTTTCGAAGCTTCACATCGGTGACCGCCACTTCGTTTCGTCTGCATTCTTCCCGCCGCCGTGGGTTTACAGCCGGGCCGAGCTGCTCCACGTGTCCCGAGTGGGCGGAGGGTGTGCCATGCAGAGCCTCTCCACAGTCGTGACACAAAAGAAGGGTCACGCGGTCACTGAGCCGCGAGAAGAGCCGGCTGGATCTGTCCAATCCTTGTTGCGGATCTGTCAGTTCAGGTCCGAACCAGTAAAGACCTGGCTAAGCTGACCCGTGTTACCAGGATCATCCTTTCTGGGTGTCCAATAGACTACTCTACCCCACCCTACTTACAGGTCTCCAGACAGGGCACCCGTTGGAAGTGCTAGGTGGTCATGTTTTTGCTTGTTGTTGCATGACCAACTCCTGTATGCTGCGTTTTTACATGGGATGTGGAGGCGTTGAAGGAACAAAGGGCGCTCGCTTTTTTGAGGCAGAGGCAAGACCATCCAGTTGGTTTCAGCTCCAGTATAATCCGTTATAAGTTCCATTAATGTTCCATTATTTTCCATTATATTATATGGACAAATATGTATAAATCCTGGGTATTAACCTGGCTCTGTCCAGAATTCGATGTTGGCTTCCTTCCCGCTGGAACGACACCATTTGGGCATTCACAGACCCTTCAGTCGCGCCGCCGGCGACCGAAGGAAAGCAGCAGAACAGTGGGGGAAAATGTATTTTGCGGGAAGCACCAGTTTTAGATGTCAAAGTTCGTTGGGAAATCTAAAAGACCACCAGTTTTTGGAAATTATGTTGTTTTGTTGGGCCTGCTTTGAGGCGCGATGGGGACGGAGCACCTGTTTGGTTTGGCAAGACGCTTGGACTAGTCCAACGAGCGAGTTCATAGGCCAAATAAAGAAGAAGAGCCAACCCAAGGATGGAACGACCTACTTGAACACTCAACACGTTGTGTATTTACTGCGGGCTATGTTATGTCAGGCCCTGGGAAGGTCCGCAGAACAAATGAATGAATTAATGAATGAATGAATCATGTATAGTTTAATCATGTATTCATGTATTTGTTTTAAATACGTGATTGTTTGCCTCCTCAAAAGCACGTGTCACTTGCTCATTGCAACCTTATCTTATATAAGCTTATGTGGTTAGACATGGTCAGACTTTTTTGGTTTTGTTGCTTATACATGCTTACACAACTACAGCAAAGCTCAGCCATCGCCAGGGTATCCTGGTTGACCTGAGGAGTAGCTTTTTGAGGCGACCCATTCACCGATTCCAACAATTCCGAACAGAGCTCCAACGATCTGTAGTAACAAGAAGCTATTAGTAACAAGTGCCACGCTACTAGGAACA